ACAAAAGTGCAGTATCAATTACTCAATATGAGAACAGCAGAAAATCAAGGAACAACCCATGGGGAAACAGTGACACTATGAAAATGACTCATGAAGTATTTCTCACTGACATGTGGCTTGTTGCCAACAGACACCTACCATGACATTCTTGCGGTAGATAATCTCTATATTCTCTGATTTCAAACCTTTAATCCTAAAAGTTTCTAAGAAAATCCTGGATACCACCAGTAATTATTGGTAAGCAACAGACTGTTTCCACCATCTGGGCAGCTGACTCACGTGGTAGGCACTTGACAAATACTTTGGAAGGTAGTTCTGCATAGCTTTGTCCCTTGGTTTAACTTGGGTTTGCCCTTCGGCAATAACAATGCCCAGCACACCCTTGAATATTAACAACACTGGCAAGCTTCCTGATCACTGACAAGATTTAAATAAGGAAGGGCTAATGGGTTTCATAGACTGCTCGCAGTGTTTTTCTCATTTGTCATACACCCTTCAGCCACCTGCCCTGTGCACAAAGAGAATTCAAAGGCATAACTACCAAATAAATAGCATTTAAATAGGCATAAATAATCTTTGGGGTCATTCATTTATAGACTGTTTGAGGACCGTTCATAAGGGAAGAACATGGTTATAATCTGCCATATCGGGAGAGGATTTGGCTCAAAGTCTTACACACACAGTCTTGGGTTCCAAATATGACTCATTAAGCCAACAGTTGTAAGATTGTTGTGTTGCCCGAGCGCTAACTATGTAATGTGCTCCAAAGACACTAGAATATGAGCAGTTCTCAATGTATGAAAGAATTGGCTCCTAAATTTATATGTTGTTTTAATCGGGGAACATACTTTTCTTCAAACATACATAATTGTTAAAAATTGAGGTGTCACCTATGTGCAGTAAGTGTTCAGTGTTTTTTAAGTGTTCAGCTTGATGAATTTTGATGCATGTATATATCTAGATAATCAACAAGATCACGGTTTAGCACCCAGAAAACTCTCTCATGTCTCTTACCACCCAAGTACCATCTCTAAGAGTAAACTCTATTGTGAATTCTACCACCAGAGATTAGATTTTTATTGATTTATAACCAACTCTTATTGATATACAGTTAACATGTTAAGTGCACAAAATGAATTAAACTCAAGGATAGAGTGAAATGTTTAAATATGTATCTATTCATATAACTACTGTCCAGAGCAGTGTAAAGAATATTTCCATACACTGAGAAGCTCCTTAAGACACCTTTCTGTGAATCCTGGCTCTTTCAAAGTAGTCCCTATTCTGAGATTGCTCTGCAGAATGAGTTCGATCCCTGGCCAGAGAGCTGACCCACATGGCACAGCAGACCTCTCTTGCTTTGCCTACTGCTCCCTTCAGCAGTGTATTCGATCCGTCTGCCTGTTCTGTTCCCTGCTCTGTCTCTGGTGAATCCTCTCACCGCCCCCAACCTCCTGCACCTCTGGCCTACACCCCACCTCTTGTATGCATACATAAATAAATCTTAAAAAAAAAAAAAAGAAAATATACAGGGAAGTCTACTTGCTTTTGAATCTCACAAGTTGAAAAGATGACTATAATAGGTTGAGTTGTGTGTCTCTCCTCCCCTACCCCCACAAAAAAAGAAAAGGTATGTTGAAATCCTAACCTCCAGTATATCAGTGTGATCTTATTTGAAAATAAGTCACAAGAGCCATAGGAGGAAGGTGGTGATGGAGTCCCTTAGTACTGTTGCTTCATGTCTTCCTCACCAATAACAGCCCCCAACACCAATTGGAGTGCTCCCACTGAAATGCAGAGTTCACTGAGCTGCAGCTATGTAATTGGAGGTGAAGGTATGCAAGTCAGACCACCCCAAGTTCTCAAAACTTGTCTGATCAAGACGCCCCACTCTCACATGCAGAGAGCATTTTGACCTAAGAGGACTGAAACCTCTTGAGGCTGAGCAGCTTTGTCCTTAGTCTAAATTCTTGACCCTTTCCTGATAGAAGAGATTGTCATGTCCTAAACTTCTGCTGTTTTCCTAATCAGAGAAGCAATCACCGCTTTCCCATTTAAGCCCTAGAAGAATGTAGTTCTAGGGGCTTCTTCCAGTTGAATGCTTATCAGTGAACATATCTTCTCTAAGAATCTCACCTTTACTCTCAGCAACGATAAAGCAACCCCTTCTTGTCTGTCATGTAATGTCCCTTCTGCCCCATCGCTTGATGCCCCAGGCCCATAAACTCAGGATAAATGTCCCAGTTCACTGGATTATTCCTTAGAATTTACAACCATAGGCCTCCCTGGTGGCGCAGGGGTTAAGGTCTCAGCGCTGTCACGCTATCACCACTGCGGCTGCTGCTCCCCTCAGGAGTGTATTTCAGTTAATCTGCCTGTTCTGCTCCCTACTTTGTCTCTGGTGAATCCTCTCACACACCCCCTCCCCGCACCTCTGGCCTACATTCCAGTTCTTGTATGTGTAAATAAATAAAATAAATCTTTTTTTAAAGAAGGAATTTACTACCATGTTAAGTTCTCCACATGTACATTATGAATTTTTGGTCTTTGCTCCTACTAACCTGTCTGATGTTAATTTGTTTTTCTGTCCAGACTCAGAAGAACCTAGTTCAACTGGAAAACTTGCCCCAGTCCCTGACAAATACAACCTTAAAAAAGATGACTAATTTAGTAAAAGACGTCTACCCAGAAGACAGAAGGAGGGGAACACACATAATTTTGCAGTTGTTTTTATGGGTCTTAAAAGATCTGGCTACCAAGTAAAGAAGAGTGGCAGCACCATGACCAGGAGAAAGGGAGCTGCAGTGTCTATGAGCCTGCGGTCACACAAATTCCAAACATCATTTGGACACAGTGATCAGACATGAGACCAGATTAAATTTCTCATTCAGTTTCTCATTTCTCATTCAGTTATGTAAAACAAACTTACTCATTATTACCATTGAGTCTTTAAAGAAATTGTAATGTGTTTATTTAGGATTTAGCTCTGTGTATGGGTATTAATAGAAAGTCTGTTTCAAATCCTATAAAATAATAAAAGTGCTCTTAGCATTTTATATAAAGCTGTATTGTTAAATATGTAATAATCAAAAAAAGTGGGGGGGGGCAGTCTTGGCAAATGTGATTAGTGAAAATGAGTTCAACTAGGGAGGTTGGGTCCCTAATCCCAATATGACTAATGTCTTTATTATGTTGGCCTGAGAGAGGCACAGGTGGAAGCCCAGGAGAGGACAGAGAATTGTGTGATGCCAATATAAGCCTAGGAATGTCAGCCATTACTAGTAAACCCCCAAGGGAGAGGCCAGGGAGGATCCTCTACAAGTTTCAGAGGGATCTTGGCCCTCCCGACACCTTGATTTCAGACTTCCGGCCTCCCAAACAGTGAGAAAATAAATTTCTGTTGTTTCTTTGGACTTCTCAGTTTGTGGTACTTTATTATGGTAGTGAGGACTTAAAAATAAATCACTGCTGTAACGAAAAAAGGAGTTTTATTTTCAGAGGCAAGGGTGAGGGCTAGTGCTGAGAAAGACTAACACAGAAAGACTGACACAGAGAGTTCTGATCAGCTGCTTCCTATTTCCCCCAACTACCTACCCCTTCCAGTTTATATAGAGGGTTGTGAGAAGGAGGTGGGTTACAATGGAAATAATATAACAAAGAATTGTTCCAGAAGCTGACATAAGGTAATTCTCTAACATCCTTGTGGGAAGGATTGTATTGCCTACATTCAGGGGATCTTTATCTCCATGGACAGATGCAATCTGTTTGTGAGCAACACAGGAACTGAGAGATGGAATTTTATCTTACAGAATGTGCTTTTTCTGGGGTCCACATGTGCATCTGATTTTTCCTGTGGTGGCAGCACCATGAGGGGCTTGGAATAATGGTGGGCTAAAACCACAGTGTGTTTCACAGCTTATGACTGAGTCTAGACCTCTACAGGGCCTTTCTCTGTGCCCAAAAGTTGTTGTTTTCCTTTCACAGTAGCCTGAGGAGACTGATACAGTGGACCTGACTTTGAATTCCTGCAAATAATGGGGGTGGAGGAAATAATGAGTCACCTGATTATCATGACCTACAGGTTTTTCAATGACATTCCAGTTTATTTTCTGATAATTGAAAGTATTTTGAAGAACCTGCCCAGTCAACACAAGAATGCTAGGAAAGCAAGCAGTAAAGGGCACAAGACGACAGATAACTGAAATTGAAAATACCTCGGTACTGACATGAACATTTTTAAAAATAAGAGTTATAACACTGTTTTTCACAGATTAACCATTTACAAATATAATAAAATATAGTTTTGCACAGTTAAACATCTTTAACATCTCATTTAAATATTAATCTAACTCTCCAAAGTCTACCCAAATGGCAATATTTCATCTTTTATTTTTAGTAAGTATTGGTGCTCTTCTTAAGTGAAATGTTAACATGGCTCCCCAATATGTAACAGAAGTGAAGCTGTTCTAATTGGGGAGGCTTCCAGAAGGACCCCACACTTTCCCTCTTCAGACTCTCAGGGCCCTAAGAAGTCCGAAAAGCATAGAACTAAAATATTAACAATAAACATGAAATAAGGTCTCACTGAAGAAGGAAAAATAGAAAGTTCATTCAGTAACTAACACTTTTCAAGACTGCCATTCCATATGCGTTTTTGTTTTTTTGGGGTTTTTTTTGGTTTCATCACTTTAGAAAATTCTTTGAAATCTGTTTTAATGGCAGCACATTATATACAGAAATCATATTTCTACACCTGGGAAATTATTTAAAAGAGATGCTGCTGAATATGATCCAATAACAATGATTTTCAAAGGCATTTTTTTTTTTTTTTTAATGCTTTATTTATTTATTTATTTGTTTGTTTGTTTTGTTTATACATGCACTGGGTACAGTCAGAAGCGCGGGAGGGTGAGAGAATTCACCAGAGCCAGAGCAGGGAGCAGAGCAGGCAGAAGGACTGAAGTATACTGCTGAGGGGAGCAGCGGGCGGCAGGAGAGGTCTGCGCGCCATGTGGGACCCTCCTCCAGTGGCCGGGGAGCAGCCGGGGATCGAACCGGCGCCGCAGAGGCTGCGGGCAGCTTCGCAACCCAGTGCTCAACCGCTGCGCCACCGGGGAGGCCCTTCAAAGGCATTTTTTAAGGCAGTTCATTGTTACTACCAATAAAAAGAAAACATTCTCATAAATAAAGCCCAAAGTGTAAATAATTCTTGAGAAGATGAAACATCCCAATATATCAAAGGGAGATTCCAAGTAATTGTAACATTTTGGGGCCTTAGAATGGACTCCCAAATGGGACAGAAAAGGCAATTATTCACACAATCCTTTATTCGATGTGTACAGGAATGGCTGGTCTGTGGGGATATGGAGATGCCTGCACAGCGATACTGATTAACAACAGGGAGGTTGTGGTGGGCCGATGGGGCCAGAACCATGGGGAAGCATCTGATTAAGGGTATGTGTGGTGAGTTATTAACAGTGCAACAAAGTCACGGGATGCACGGCCTTTTGGTGAGCTGGTTGGTCTTCAAAGACCTTTTCTTGAGGCTTGTTCTGGGCAGTTTATTCATTTCACAAACACTTTCACAGATTTCACAAACACTAATGTAGTGCTTCAATGTGCCAGGCTCTGCTCTAAGAGCTACAAATATACTTCATTTAATCTTTAGAACTATAATTAGCCCCATTTTACAGATGAAGAAACAGGCACAGAGAAATTAATGCAACTTGTCTAAGATGTCAAGGTTTACAGATGTTGATTTGGGATTCAAAGAAATGACACCTTTGGCTAGGAAGAGAAATTTGTCCTAAAAAAAAAAAAAATCCTAGGAACTGGCCTGAGTGAAAAAGGAAAAAGCAGCACCAGAACTGACAGTGCACTTGTTTACCACACTGCGAGGGTATGATCCTAAATCACTTTAATTTTAATAAGATAGATAAGCATGAAATTGCACACAGATGAATGCAGGATTCTTTCCATTCTTAGTAAAGGTGCCTTATAAATCTGAATTTTTCTTCTATAATGTTTGAGTAAAATCATACTGTTTTAACCTCACACACTGGTTAAACCAACTAGAAGCTGATTCAGGAAGCAATTGCTTCTCTATCATAGAGACTAAAATAAAAAAGTCAGTAAATAAATATTAAGTTTGATATAAAAAAGTGGTTTCAAGTAAGGTTTAAGAATAACCTTGTATATCCCAATTCATCACTTTGTCATATTCTTGAATTCTTTGTTTTATGTGAGAAAGTTTATTCTTGAGATAATCACAGCGTTCTTTTTTTTCCAGAAATGTGGGGTCCTGGAAATGAAACACAATTATTATTTTAGCTTCTGACTTCCTTACCATAGAACACAGAAATATATGCTTTATCAGTAAAGAATACAAATATATATTAACACCCAAGAAATGACCCTTCATGTAGTCAAAATCTGCCTGATAAGAATAAAGTTCTGCATTTTTTTAGCAGACCTTATTTTTTAGAAATAGTTTTAGCAAAATTGAGGAAAAGTACAGTGTAGACAACTTTATGTGCTTTAGTACTTTAAATACTATAGTTTAGGGCCTCCCCGGCGGCGCAGCGGTTAAGCGTTGGGTTGTGAAGATGCCTGCAGCCTCTGCAGCGCCGGTTCGATCCCCAGCTGCTCCCCGGCCACCAGAGGAGGGTCCCACATGGTGCGCAGACCTCTCCTGCCGCCCGCTGCTCCCCTCAGCAGTGTACTTTGGTCCTTCTGCCTGCTCTGCTCCCCGCTCTGGCTCTGGTGAATTCTCTCACCCTCCCGCACTTCTGACTGTACCCAGTGCTTGTATAAATAAATAAATAAATCTTTAAAATAAATAAATAAATAAATACTATAGTTTAGCAATTTATAAACCATAAAAATGTAAGTAATAAAGTGTAGAAAAGATTAATAAAAGCACTCTCTAGCCTCCACTGATTTGTGTAGTTAAGTTAGAACATATAAAATAATGCAACCTTTTTGAAAGAAATGTGGGTAGAAAGTTTTATGTTGGTGCTCATTTCCCTGGGTTGCTATAGGACACAGCAGAATTATTCAGCTCAGAGGTGAGAAGTCTCCCATGTCCCCCAGTAAGTAGCATTTTAAGAAATAGGAAACAAAAACTTATTTAGCTAAAATAACATAAGGCCTGCCAATGCCACTATTGTACATATATACTGTTTTACTCACATGCTTCTTTTTCTTAAACTCTTCATGGATTCTTGAAATTCTCTCATGTTCCTAAAAATAAAATAATGACACTTGAATAAAAACATTAGCATTTACTCAAATCATCTCTCAAAGAACACTGGAATTAAAATAGAAAACAATTTTTATCTGACTATAATGAAAATCTTCACACACAGTAATTGGGTTCACTGGACAAATATCAGAGGGCTAACTCTGTGCCAGGCCCTGGGATCCAGGGACAAATAGGATGATGAAGTAACATGAAGCCAGAAGCAAATCCCAGCACATGACTTGCCAGCTGTGACCCCAAGCAAATGAATTACCCTAAGACTCAGTTTCCATGTCAATAAAATGGAAATAATAATGGTACTTCCTCATAGGGTTGTGAGAAGGTTCACTTATTTGAAATGATCCTTATAAAGTACCAGGTACATAATAATCACACCAGCTATATTATAAAGTCTCAAAGTCACCCCCTTTGAAAGGTTCCTTTTCAAGTTATTAGAGGTTGGGATTAATGTTCAACTTTTGAAAATGGCTAATACAAGGTATCGTCTAACTTTATCTATAATTTGAATAAATTTAGAGATATTAAAATGTGTAATCTGTTAAGGAATTGAACATTGCATCCCAGGGGACAAGTCACTAGAGCAATATTCTCATTTATCCATGGAAACCTGTGCTTTAGAGATTGTCAGAAATTATAAACCTAAGAAATAAAAAATAAATGTGGTAATTTATTGTTCTAAAAGCATCCCTTGAGAACATTTTCCATCACTTACCTACTTTCTTTCCAATATAATTTTATTCTTTTCTGCTCCTGGCACAGGAATGATAGGGAAACTATGCAGAAGCAGCCAGGATAGCCTTTGTGATAAACCTCACAGTTATTTTTCTCAATTAATAGTTTTCACTGTTCTGTTTTAAGCTTCCCCCTTGGGCTCTGTCCTTCAACTTATTTATTTTTTTAGATTTATTTTTATTTATTTATGCATATAAGAACTGGGGTATAGGCCAGAGGTGGAGGGGTGAGAGGGTTCACCAGAGATAGAGTAGGGAGTAGAACAGGCAGATCTACTGAAATACACTGCTGAGGGGAGCAGTGGGTGAGGCAGGGGAGGTCTGATGTGCCATGTGGGTTAGCTCCTTGGCTGGGATGGAACTAAGGTAGCAGGAGTGATAACATGACAGCTCTAAGATTTAATCCCTATGCCACCAGCGAGGCCCCAACTTATTTTTTTTATCATGTGACTGTTGGCTGAAATCTTGGGTTACTTCATGTCTTTTTTTGCCTTCCTTACCAGGCTTGCTCAAGGGGTCACAGTTGTCCATGTAACTGAAGCGAATGAATATCTATTGGATGCTTCTTTGAGGATCACCAGGGTGGAAGTTCTTCTCCCCTGAGTGATTTCCTCTTTCTTTAAGAGGAAAAGGAATGGAAAGGCAATGAAGGAGACTGCTTTTCCTCTGGAGAACTGTTTGTATCTGGTTGAACATCAGCAATCACAAACCCATCTTTTGGAGGTGCCTTAGGCTTGGTAACATGAAGTTCTTTCACCATTTGAATATAGTGCTTCTTCTACACACCCAGCTCAAGGGGGTGTGTACACTTGTAAAGGGGAGAAACTGATGTCCCAGTGAAGCACAGACATTTCACCAACCACAGCTGATCCAGCTCAGTCAAGTTCTTCCAGTGCCAGATCACCGTGCACTTCGACAAAGACTTCTTGGGTCCAGGAAAGAAAAGATGTATAAAGATAACACCTTTGGAAGCATGGTGATAAAATTCAGAGATTCTGCTGGGATGTCTTCCTGCAGCTTCTGACACAGAATTTCTGCTGGGAAAGGGGACAGGCCAGGATCCTTCTCCTTTGAGAGTCAATCCATTTGTCAAACCATTTCCCAAGCAGAGCTCTTCTTTCTTCAAACACCTGGTCATTCAAAAGCTGATGGTTTAGGGGTGTCCAGGCACTTCTTTGCATTCTGGGACTGTTTATCCTTTTTGTTTTTGTTTTTAAAAAGATTTATTTATTTATGCGTACAAGAACTGGGATACAGGCCAGAGGTGTTGGGGGTGAGAGGATTCACCAGAGACAGAGTGGGGAACAGAACAGGCAGATTGGCGGAAATACACTGCTGAGGGGAGCAGCGGGAAGGTCAGGAAAGGTCTGCTGTGCCATGAGGGTAGCTCCCTGGCCAGGGATAGAACTGGTGCTGCAGTGGCTGCAGATAGCTTCATAAGTTGCATCTTAACCCCCTGCGCCATCAGGGAGGCCCTGTTCATCCTTTTTGGAAATGCAAATGCCATCAAGAGATAACTGGGTATTCTTCTCTAAGGAAAATGACCTCTTTTTGCTCATCTCACTCCTCAAGCCTCAAGCACTGGTGTTGCCATAGTGGCTCTTTCTTTTTTTTTTTTTTAAAGATTTATTTTTATTTATTTATACAATCACTGGGGTACAGTCAGAAGTGCATGAGGGTGAGAGAATTCACCAGAGCCAGAGCGGGGAGCAGAGCAGGCAGAAGGACCGAAGCACACTGCTGAGGGGAGCAGTGGGCAGCAGGAGAGGTCTGCGTGCCATGTGGGACCCTCCTCCCGTGGCCGGGGAGCAGCTGGGGATCGAACCGGCGCTGCAGAGGCTGCGGGCAGCCTCGCAACCCAGCGCTCAACTGCTGCGCCACTGGGGAGGCCCTGGCTCTTTCTTTTAAAATTTTTAATTACAGAATAGATTAAGATATCAACTTTAAAAAGGATAGACTATTACATACAAATGTTCATAAACACATTGATAATAGCCAAAAAAGTGGAAAGAGCCCAAATGTTCGCCAACTGATAAATGGATCAACAAAATGTGGTGTTATTTATACTATGATGGAATACATCACAAAAAGGAAGAAAGTACTGATTCATGCTACCATAGACATGAGCCTTGAAAACATTATGCAGGACACCAAAGGCTACATGTTACATTTATATGACATGTTCAGAAGCATAAATAAATAAAATAAATCCTAAAAAAAAAATATATATCTGATAAAAGTACCATCATTATGAGGCATCCCAATTTCAGATACTAAAATGGGGGAGAGGGGAAAGACAGAACATTATGGAAAATACTGAATTTCCCTCTGACTACCTTGGTTTTCCTCTCTGTCTTACTGATGGCTACCAGCATGTGATAGATGTCCCCAGTGGGTCACCCCAGTTTTTGATCCATTCTCCATCCTTCCCTGCCACGCTCTTTGGGCCTGGAGTGGCAACCACCTGGCTCTCTCTAGAGAATACATGGTTCTTAATGGCTAGCTTACACTCCACCCTTTTGTGAATAAGCCCTTTTTGAATTGTCCAGTTTGAGTGTGCAATCTGTCTCCTATAGGATTCTGACTAAATTAATTTGTATCTTAGGTAAATTTATATCTTATCTAAATAAGAAAATAAAATATTGTTTAATAATTGAAACCAAAAGACATATACAAGCTGAACTGTAAACTTAATTAGCCACCTTGGCCATCACAAATGAGTTCCCTCAACTCAGAATTAGATGGATATGGCTCTTTGCATTTCAAATTAGGCCTGATTTTATCCCTCCTCTAGCTAACAGTGATCCTCCCAGGCAGCTGCAGCCACTGACCTGTTGGTTTTCTGCACGATGCGGCAATCTGCTCATCACGGCGTCCAGCTCATCAAACTTCTTCAAGACGGCTTGAACTTCAGCAGAGAGCTCTTTGTACTCTGAAAACTGGTCTTGGAACACAGCTTTATAGCGTTCTCGTTCATCACTTGTCTGTATTACAGGATATTTTCTGAGGGAAAAAAAATAAACCAAAGTTTAAACGTTTCCATTAAAAAGAACTGAATGGGAAATCAGTTGTTTATTCCTCACTGACTGTATGGTACCTTCAATTCTATGCCTTTTGTAACAAACAACTGTGCAAGCATAAATGATTTTAAGCAGACTTGGAGACAAATAGGAAAATGAAAGGCTCATATGGAATCTTTCGACTTCCACCTTGAAAGATTTAGATTGGTACTTACGCCACATAGTCAGGCATTACAATGGGTTTAGGAATGTGGCCTGGAGGGATGGGTCCACTCAGTAGTTCAGGTTTCATTTTTGGTCTCAAGTCTTTGAAATGAACTTCTTGATCTCTCTGCCTGTCACCATTGGTGGCAATTTCACACTGCAGTTAGGAAGAAAAAGAGGATTTACGTGTAAACAGGCAGAAAGAAAAAAAATTCAAATTCATTCTTAAAAGAAAATGGAGGGAGACCACAGAAGTAAGAAAATGGAAATAGCAAATTAATATTTCACTTCAGAGTTACTCGTTTTATAGTCACAACATTGTTCTGAATGTATTTTTTTTTTAAAAGAGTCATTTTTATTTATTAATGCATACAAGAACTGGGGTGTATGCCAGAAGTGTGGAAGGTGAGAGGATTCACCAGAGACAGAGTGGGGAGCAGAACAGGCAGATTGATTGCTGAGGGGAGCAGTGGGTGAAACAGGAAAGGTCTGTTGCACCATGTGGGTTAGCTTCCAGGCTGAGGGGTGGGGGTAGGGGGGTGGAGTAGTGGTGAGGGGGTGGGTGTGTGGCAGTTGAACTCATGCTGCAGTGGCTGGCAAACTTTAACCCCTGCACCACCAGGGAGGACCTGTTCTTAATGTATTTTTAACAAAGGGAGTCATGAGTTATGGGACTACATAGTAGGCATGCCCTGCAACCCCATCATGTAGGTCAAAGGATAATGATGACATATTAAATTGGGATCCTACATGATTTACTTAGATTTATACACTAGCTAACTGTAAAAGCAAACAAGAATTAAAAATGTAGGTCAAAACTAGAAATTCAGGGCCTCCCTGGTGGCTCAGGTGGTTGAGCGCAGCGCTATGAAGCTGAAATGCCGTTTCGATCCCTGCTGGCCGTGGAGCAACCCACATGGTGGGGCAGACCTCTCCTGTCTTGCCCGCTGCTCCCCTTAGCAGTGTATTTTAATCAGTCTGCCTGTTCTGTTCACCACTCTGTCTCTGGTGAATGCTCTCACCCTCCCACACATCTGGCCTGTATCCCAGTTCTTGTATAAATGAATAAATCTTTAAAAAAAGCAAACAAATGAGAAATCGAGGAATGAAAATGGAACAAGCCTACTTAAATGGAAAATAAAATTATACCAGGACTTGAGATGAATCAATTACAAGTGGCCAGTAGTAGGTTAGAAAGGGAAATGAATTACACTGTTTTTATTACCTTAAAAGGAATGTAAGGAAATCTAGATGAAAAACTCTGGATGTCTGTAACCTATCCCAGAGTTTCTAAGCTGTGTTTCCCTCAAGAGGATTATGAGAATCTGGCATGCAGTGGGCCTCCCTGGTAGTACAGTGGGTTAAGACACAACCTATGAAGTAATCTGCAGCCTCTGCAGCACAAGTTTGATTCCCGCCCAGGGAGCTACCCACATAGCACAGCAGACCTCTTCTGTCTCGCCCACTGCTCCCCTCAGCAGTGTATTTCAGTCAGTCTGGCTGTTTTGCTCCCCACTCTGTCTCTGGTGAATCCTCTTACCCCCCACACCTCTGGCCTGTACCCCAGTTCTTGTATGCATAAATAAATCTTAAAAAAAAAAGAATCTTGCATGAGGGAAACAATGGTGTAAATCACATGATTTCTAAACCAGGGCATTACTAGAGGTAATTTTGGTTATAAAAAGAGAAAAAGTTCCTTTCAAAAGGCGGGGGAAGACAAAAAGATGCAAAGGTTCTGGACTTGGTCCTTATTCTGCCTTTGTACTTCAGTGTGGAGTCTTATATGGTGCCATCATAAATAAAACTGCCTTGATTTTCCTGTCATAAAAAAAAAAAAAAAGATAGAGGAGAAAAGAACCTAAGATAAAACATCTCAGAGAGGAAATATGGGGAGGACAGGTCCTAAGAGTTAAATAGCCCACAAATGGGAAGTAGGAGTGGAAGGCCCGGGAAGCCACTCTCGAAAAGGCAGGCTAACACGTATGCTCAGCTTTGGTGATGCAATTAGGCAGCGTCCAGAGTCCCAACCAAGCTGATAAAGCTGGTGAATGCCCAGAAAGAGTTTTCCATTTTATACACAAATAAGTAAGGCACAGACAGCTTAAGTACATTCTCCAAAGTTCACAGCGAGGAGGTAGAAAATTCAAGATTAAAACCTAGATATTTTTGGCTCATTGATACTTTAAGTGAATAATAAGAGGGAACCTGTTTACTTAAATGTATACGGCTCATATCCTAAAGTTTCCTGAAGTTAGAGGCACCAGAAAGGAGGTTGTGATGGGCAGCACAGGCCACGCTGGGCAGCTAGAGGAAAGTCAGTTGCTGATTCATTAGAATGAAAAGCTCCCCTCCACTGACCGCAGAGTCTTCAATAGATGCTGGCTGAATTAACTTGCTGAACTAAACACAAAGTTGCTTGGAGGGGTCCCTACTTCTTTGAAAACAAAAGCCAGAACAGGATTAAATCCTTACTCTCTGCCTTGCCAAGCAGCTTTTAAAATCTTTTATTTCCTGACTTCCCCATCTCTGAGGCTGCCTTTGAGGTTTGGCTTAACATTAGCTCTTTCTAAAACCACCAGCTCTTAACTCACCAAATAGCACGCCCCACATATTTAGTGTGGAGGCTGCTAACCAGCCCTAGGGGAAGGTTATGAAAAGGAGAAGCTCACACTGGCAAAGCTAAGTGGAATGGAAACCAGATCACATCCATGCAGGAAGCATGCCTAGCCACTGGGCCCAAATAGCAAGAATGGGGGGTTGGGGGGGGAACAGAATACCCTGACAAAAAGAGATTAAACAAGAGTATACATTCTGAAGTTAGTATCCTGTTATGTTCTCCCCTGTTTAGAATTTCTTCATCCTAATGAAAGCTTCTATGTTGAATCTTGAAAATGAACATGATACTAAACATCAGGAGAAGTTTTTGGCTTACTTAAATGAGTTTCTATTTCATAGCATCTCTCTTTAACTTCTAAATATTTAACTATAAATTTCCACAAGACTGCTAAGGAGCTGCTATGAAGCATGTCTATACTCTAGAACTCAGAAGTAGCTGAGAGGATCAAGTTCAGATTTCCTGGTCGAAATTATGAATTCTGCCCTCTGTGAGTCATATTGGGCAGAAGAGTCCATAATGAGTTTTTTCCCTCAGGGATAACATTTTTCAAGCAGGAAATATTTATTTTCCTTCCTATTTCTTTTTTCTAATTTTTTCTATTTCTTTTTTCTATTTCTTCCTACTTCTAACAAAAATTAGTCTTGTCAGCAAGTATCAGAAAAGCTTTATTGTGAAGCAACAGAAAGTAAATTAAACAATGGGGTAAATAATACTATGGATAAAATTACTAAGTTTTTCAAATTAAAAATGGGCTGAATTTATTACAACATGAAATAAGAAAGGATAACCTACTATGTCGTTCCAAACAAGGGGCAGGAAATTTAAGTTCAGAGAGGTTAAGTAAATCCCCCAGGATGACAAGGCTGGTAGTACTCAAACTCAAATTTGCCTGAATCCAAAGTTAATTTTTTCTTTATTGCATTGTACTGCTTCTCCTGTGGTAGGTAATCTGGCAATTCTTCCCTGTCATGGAATAGTAAGGAAGCAGGTAACACTCATTCCTAATGAGAAGTTAGAGGTCCCACTTTTTCTATAAGGCTTCTCATTCCTAAGCACAGTGGAGATAATTCAATGAATGAATGAATGATACTGATGAATATATCAGCCAGGATTCCTTCCACAGATTGTTCATCTACTTTAGAAATACACTTCATAATTATTTTAGCATGAACAAGACATTTTTAATTGTCACTATAGAGAATAAAGTTTAAAAGTACGTCATAAAAGGTATTTCTAAAATGTGTGCACTTTAGAAAGGACTTGTACAAACTAGCAACCTAATGGAAAAACTGGACAGGACAGACAGTTAAGAGAGAAGGAAATGCAAACATAACATAAAAAATGCTCAACCTCACTCCTGGTAAGAGAAATGTGAATTATAACTTCATAAGATACTGTTTCTCATGTATTGTCTGAGAGATGCCAACAAATTTCCTAGGACACTGTGTTGGTCAGGGTGCGAGGAACCTTGCTATGCTGCTGAGAGTGGAAACAGAACAAATCTGGAGTCAAAAATAAAATGCATACCCACAAACAAACAAACAAAATAAATAAAATGCGCACCCTTTTTGATCCAGAAATTCACTTTTCAGAATTTATCTTTCAGGTGTAATTGTACATATATGGAAGGAAGTACATTCAAATATATATGTGCAGTTATTCACTGTAAGTGTTTTCAATAGTGAAAGATTAGAAACAACCAACATGTTCATTTATGTTAAATAAATTCAGCTGCATGTATACAATGTAATAATATGCAGCTGTAGAAGAATGAAAAAGTTCTTTATGCACTAATAAGGCAACATCTTACAAATGGATGGTTAAGCTAAAAAAAAAACAAAGGATATGACTGTATGGCATGCTAACATTTCTGTGACGAGGGGAGTAAAGTGATTTTATATATATAAATAAAATTTTATATATATATAAAACATTTATATATATATATATATAAACATTTCTGAAAAGAAACACAAGACACAGGTAACACCTGTTGCCTCCATGCAGAACTGGGAGCCAAGGTACAGTTATTTGAGACCCTTTGGGTTTTGAACCAGGTGAGTACACTCTCTTTTCAAAGAAACAAAACCAAAGCTTGGATTCCCCACTTCTTGCTTAGAAATAATGTTTAATCTCTTCAAAAAGAACTTTTCAATGAGGTAAAATTATGATTTTTTGAGTTATTTATTTACTTATGTCTAAATAATAATAGCATCTCATTTAATCCTCTCAGCAAGCCTGTGGGGTAGAAATTACTCCAGTTTTACAGATGAAGACACCAAGACACAGAAAGTTAGTCTATTACCACATAGCAGAGTAGAAATTTCACTCTTGAAACAACAAAATTTGACATCTGAAAACAAAGTAAGAAGGATTGAAAAGAAAGGCAAAAAGAAAGAGACTAAAGAAAGTTTGGGAAAAATCACTTTCACTTAAAAAAATTAAAATTTAGACATATAAGGAGAACCCTATATTAATTTGCATAATATTTCATTTAACAAACTTAAAGGAAGTCATAGATAGCCTTGTCTAATTTGCTCATTTTAGTACTAGGAAAAAGCTTAAAGTCCTATTATGAACCCAGTTTAGTAGATAGATACACTTTCACAGACAAATAATCTACTTTGTAGGTAACTATACAATAAAGAAAAGTATTAACAAATCTAGAGTTAACTATGATAACTTTACTCTTACCATTTTTCTTTTGGATGACAATGATGTCTCACTTATCTGCAACAAAAAAAGGTAAAATTAAGAAGAATTTTCAACAGAGTGTGAAGCTATTTTGCAAATATTTTCATCCATTTGTTTTTATGGTCCCCAATAACACAGAGCCTGATTCTCTATTTCCTGGATGTTTTCCCCACCCTTTGGGTGACATTTCTATCGCTCTGTGGAGAGCCAGAGGAGGAAGGTAAGTGTCATTCCCTGTTAGCCAGGAGCAGAGAGCAGAGCCAGAAATTAGGGGTGGTAGAGACACTAGGTGAGTTGTTCTGAATTATCTAGAAATTTTATTTAATCTTGGCTCCTATTACCTTTCACAATTCAAGAATTTGGGATGATTACACTATAAAATTAATAGAAAAGTCACAGGCCATTGCATTTTCTAACTTTTAGGAAATTATAGCAACATACAAACAAAGCACAACCTCCCATATCAAAGGTGAGGTTATCAGTCATTATAAAAAGTCTTACAGAAGCAAACTCCTGTTTTGAGAAATCAAAAGGAAGTAAACATTATATTGATAATTACAGTCATATTCATAACATGAAGGAAATGACATTAAGAATTCTGTTGTAACTAAAGTTAGACAAAATGATGAAGTGTGTGTTTTACTATCTGAGTTTTATAATGATTAGAATTTAAAGTTCTTCTTATGTAAGGATGTAAATTTAAGAAAAACAGCAGAAAAATACTTTGCGGCAGGAAATTACAGGTTATGTTGAAACTTGTTGAGGTTCTCTTATAATGCTCAAGGTATTTGTTATACAATTTGTTACGTATAAGATTCATTCAAAAGATTAAAAACAAAAATATATAGTTCACTGAGTAAAGGAATAGGTTACTGAGTAAAGGACAGAATTTCATTTTCATTTATAGTTTAACCCAATATCCACCATGTACTATTAAACAGTACCTAGGAAATCTTTGGAAAAGTGGGAAAAGAAAAATGCATGGAACAGTTAACTTAATATTAAGAAAACATTTAAGGTAATACTGATTTTTTCAGTGATACTCAAAGTTCTACTACACATTCCTCACAAGAGAAAGCAAAACATTAATTATTTCATGGCATGATGAAACTAGCTAAGCATACTCTTAACATCTTTGCTACCATTCAGGTAAGAGAACTATTTTATTTTTCAAGTAAAATAATTTTTAATAGGGCTTTTATATAATCATATCCTCCAGGTGTTGTTATTGTAGTTGTTGTTGTTAATTATCCTTTCTTCCTTCTCCTATCCCTCTCCTCTCCTTATACTTAATTAGTAAAACCCTAGAAATAAAAACAAGGGCAGGGCTCCCATTCTAATTTTGGAACACTCATCTCCCCAAAATAAGGATGAAGCATTAGAATGCCTAGGCATGCTTTCAAGGAGTAGGTTCATCACAACTCCACCTTTCCATCTTAAAATAAGTTAAACGTGGTTCACCATACATACTCTTACTTGGCTTTATTTAACTTGCTGGAAGAAAGTGGTGCTCATTGTAACAAATCAAAAATACACTTTCTCCTGTAACTGAAAAATTATGTTTGCCTAATTGTTTTAACTAAAGAATCAAGATTGTTCTCAAATTTACTTCAGTCATGAGAGATTTGAATTATTCCCCTTTGCAGAAATCCAGTAACTGCGTATCCCCCTTAAGCATCAGACAAAATAATGCAGCTAAAAAGCTACGTATGACATCACACGCCTGGTGTCTACTCGCCATGTTACACAACATGACATAACAGAGTGAGTGATCCCAGTCAAAGCAGGTCAGCTACTGAGTTAGGACTTTAGAATTTAGAAGTTCAGCTTAAAAAAAAAAAAAAAAAAAAAAGATTTCTAGGAAATCTTTGCTTTGAAAACTATATATATTTAGTAAGGGAATAAATATCAGACAAAACCTGCAAAATCCCATACCTCCTGTTGTTCCATGTACTCCCTGTGTCTTCGGGCTGCCTCATGCCTCCACAACTTCAGGCAAACCAAAGCGCTGATGAGATAGACAATCATGGTGACAAATAGAAAGATCATCGCCGCTATCTGTCCTCCTTCCACCCGGCAGAACAATGCATTCACTGGGGTATTAAATAATGGATAGTAGCAGAGTCCACCCCGGTTGGTGTCATTCACATAGACTATGGCTGCAGCCATATACAAAATAAACAAGGCAATGTTAATTCCAAATTCGGTGAGGGGCCACCAATTAGAGTCCAGAAGAATCGTCCGATAATACATGGACATGCCAAGAACTAGAAGAATAATGGTGGTGATCCAAGCTAATCCTGCAACCACAAGTACAAAAGGGGTTTTGGGGCCACTGTAGTAATAGCCACCATACATACTGCCCATACCATTGCCTCCCATGCCATAGGACGGTGAATATCCAAACAAGTTATACCACTCGCTGTCTTTGTGAATGTAAGCGGTGACACAAGCAAAGACACCAGCCCCCAAAAGCAGCTCCACCACACCCAGAATTCTCAGCAGTCCTGCCCACGACTTCATGTAGGAATACTTCAGGTTATACTCCTCCACCTTCTCACTGTATGTTCGGGCCGTTTGTGTGTGTCGGTCTAGAGATCCATAGGCATCCTGGGGAAACATGGCATCAGTCTCTTTCCTGGAAGTAAAGGCTCCTTCTGATTCTCCATAAGGATCTTTGCAAGAGTTGGGAGAACGGTGGTTTGTTCTTGCTGGAGAGGCAGGAGGCGAACATTTCACTCCATCGGAGATGTATCTGATGTCAGACACTGACTTATCCCATTTTGGGTCCTTTTTTTTCCCTCTAAAGAAGTTCTTCCAGGATTCAGGGACAAAGCGCCTTACAGGTTTGAGATCTGGTGCTATGGCTGGCTCCTCTGTGTCACTTGAGTAGAAGACTGGGCCAAATGGTGGCTGTAATGGGAGAGGGGGCGGTGGCAACGGATCAGCGCTCACAGCCAGCTCACTGTCATGAAGAGTCTGGAGGGTTCTTATGGTGCCATCTTGATAGGGCAAGTCCTGTGGGACCTCGTCATAATGCCTGTCCCAATTCCTGGATCTTCCGTCATTTGACGACATTTGTGATTTTCACACCTGTAGCCAAGAACAGAGTCATCACTTACGACTGATCACTTAGTACTGATTTTATCCCTTTGTAGCAAATGATCATATTCAGGAAACCAGTGCGATGTTCATTATTTTGACATATGAAATAACATAAACATGTATACTTTAAATATATGTAACAGTTATGTTAGTCAGGGATACAGTCAACATTCTCTGTGATTTTAAGGGCAGTTAAAATTTTAAATCTCAGTACTCAATGAAAACATGAATAAGTTTGATTTACCTATGCACCCTATAAACAACAAGACGTAAAGAACAAAGATAAAACTAATAAGAATACAGCATACAAGTACAAGTAGAGTCCCAAAGCACAGTCCTTTCCTCAAACATCTAAATCAAAATATTTAAGAGTTTGAGCAAACCAGCATTTGATGGGTCAGCAAATACTCTTCCTTTTCATGAACTCATCTACTTTGGAATGGCATGGGAGAAAGTCTGTTAAACACAGGGAGTGGCAGCTCTCCTCCCTGCCCGCCTGTGAGGATGCAGGTGTCTCTCTCTTTTCCTTTCTTCTTTTTCTATTTACCTTTTGAAATGTAAAAACAAACAGGGAGTGAAGAGCACCTATCCTCCCTATATCAGGCAAGTCAGCTTGGGGGAGTAGCTTTCTCTACTCTAAAATATTAACACTTGATACTAGGCTTTAAAAATTAAATTTCAGAGAAAAAAAAGTCACCCAAGATTTAAGAGTTCCAGGAAGTTCAACACAGAGCAGCAGCAATGACCATAGAGATCACTCTCTTCACAGCAATTACTTAAAGGAGATTTGCTGTTACCCTGAAAGACTTAAAGTATCTTAGAAGCAGTTTGAGTCACCTGCGAAACAAAGCAAGAGAAAGCACTTTTACAAGACCTATTGATTTCCTTGATGAAATCACACATATACAAAAAAAAGAAACCATTTGTTAATGTAACTACTAGATTTGAGGCACACTGAATATCCCCCTGCAAATTCCTTATACTTATGGAAGACTCACTGGGCACATGGCATTTACTTGGCACTATGAATGTCTCACGATTAAAATGAATCATTTTAGGAGCCTCCCTGGTGGCGCAACCTATGAAGCTAACCGCAGCCACTGCAGCACGAGTTCGATCCCTGGCCGAGGAGAAACCCACATGGTGCAGCAGACCTCTCCTGACTCGCCCACTGCTCCCCTCAGCAGTGTATTTCAGTCAATCTGCCTGTTCTGTTCCCCACTCTGTCTCTGGTGAATCCTCTCACCCTCCACACCTCTGACCTGTACCCCAGGTCTTGTATGCATAAAAATAAATCTTTAAAAAAATAAAATGAACCATTCTAGTTTTGTGGTGTTGAACAATTTAGAAATTTCAAAGACTTTGTTTTATTTACTTTGTAAAATGGAGACCTGTCATTCAACAAATATTCACAGAGCAACTGCCATGCACCAGGACACTCTGGACATTGTTGTTAGTCCACTCAGGAAACAAGTGAACAAAGCTGACTGCAATCCTTGCCTCCATGGATGTGTGTGTGTGTGTGTATGTGTGTGTGTAGGTGAAAGAGAGGGGAAGTGAAATACATTGGATGTTAAGGCAGAGTTAAAAAGAGTTGATAAAAGAGTGCATGGAGGGGAGAGTATTACAATTTTAGAGACCAGGGAAGTCTTCCTAGACAATTTGACACCTACGTATAGAAAATGAAGGAGGTGGAGGAGGAAGGCAGGTATGGGGTGGGGGTGGGGGGATGCATCCAGGCAGATGGAACACCTAGTACTAAAGCCTTAAGGCAGGAGTGCCTGACACCTCAGATAAGATTAAGGGACTAAGGGAGGAAGGACAATGAGGCAGCAGCACAGGGAGTGGGAGTGGGAATGGTAGAAGCGAGGTCTTCTGAACCACTATGGTCTTGAAAACCATTAGAATGGATTTTGGCTTTTCCTGGGACTGAGATGAGAAGTCCTTGGAGGACTGAAGAGAGAAGTGAAAGTGACACAATCTGACTTGCTTGTATGGACTCACTCTGGATGCTGTGCTGAGTCTACTCTAGGAGACAAGGGGAAAAATTGGGAGAGGAACCACGGGGGTAGAAGACAGTGAAGATATCACATTCTAGATAATTAAAAAATTTTACCAGAGAAATTTTCAGACATAAGAAGTGGGAAAAACAGATTACTTAGAAGCCAATTCCAGGCATCAGATCATTCAATCTACATTTCTCCACCCCTCCAGTTTAACCCTGGGGAGAAGCAGCCCTAGAATTTGAGATCCCTATTAGAAATGCGGCTGGAGATGTGAAGCAGGGGGTCTACGCACAGAAGGGTGGGTATGAGCACAGACTATACAGCTGCCCAGGAATGGGGGGAGGTGGAAAAGAGGTCTAGATTCCAGGGTCTTCTAACTGGGTGTTACAATTTTAGAGAATTAACTGTGATAGTCCCAACATAAGAGCTTTCAAAATGATAGCGATTAGCAGTTCTTTTTGTAGCTTATCTCTTCAGCTGTTGTCTAAAAAGTTTAAATCCTAAAAGTGCATAGTAGATAGCTCTTGAAATACATTTTCTTAAGTAGAAGGAAAAGCACAACAAATACCTTTAGCAATACTTAGATACTACCCCTCAATATTTATGATATAATTTACAGGATACTCCTTTGCTTAACTGACAAAAGTCTGCTTCACAGTAATGGATTTAACTCATCTTCACTTGTAAATAGTGGCTTATTTGAATTAGACCCTCTTATCAAAGTTTAAATAAAAAGCAAGAACATTATACATTTTTAGAATTGTGGAGTAGCGATGCATGAGATTTTAGACGGTAAATGTTGGTTAAATATCCGGAGACCCCTTTATACCTGTCAAGGCGTCCTGAGAGTCTACTGAGAGTCAGCATGCTGGGGCAGACTGGGTCTCAGTTTTGCTCCAGCCCCCTCACCCGCCCCTGACTCTGCTGCCAACACCTGTCTCGGAAAGCGACCGCGGCGGGAGGGAAACTGTTCTCCCGGCGGTCACAGGAATGGAGTTCAGTCACCTTTCCACGAACACACCCCCGCTCCAGCGGGCTTAGAACGACTCTCGGATTCCAGGGGGCTGGGAAAGCCCCATCGGATTCAACCACCCCGAGGGATACTGGGGGTCTCCCCCCAGCCCCCGGCACCCATCTCATCGCTTGCGGGGCCCCGCCACCCCGGAGCGTGCTCCGCCTTCGCGTTTCAGACCGAAAAGCCGCTCACTTTCCGGCATTCCGGCCCGGAGCGGCCGGAACCAAGTCGCCAGCGGCGCGGGCCGGGGCGCCCAGGTGGCCCGCGCCCGGAAGCACGGCGGCGTCGCGGCGCCCCCGTCGGCCGCAGGAGGCGAGGCCCTCCGCCCGCCCCGCTCCCGCCGGCGCCTCGGCCGCACGCCCCGCGTTGGGTCCGGCCCGGGCTGAGCGGCGAGCGGCCCCCTTTTCTCCCCCGCGCACCTGCTCCCGGGGCGCCGGGCCCCACCCCTCCGGCCCCACTCACCTGCGCGACCGCCGGGGAGAGCGCGCACGCCGCCCGCGGCACTGAAACTGGGATCGAGCTGCGGGGCGGGGCCCGGCCAAGCTCTGCCCCGCCCGGCTTTGTCAAGCCTGGGTTCCCCGTGGGGCCCCGAAGGGTCGGTGACTGCCTCCCAGCACCTCCCAGCAATGGTGGCTGACCAGGCTCTCCACGCAGTTTTGGAATGGTAGTTAGGGTACAGTTCCTACGGAAAATTGCCACTGAAACGTTGCCTTCTCTGTTACTTGTAAAGTTTAATTCTGAATGAGGAAGACTGGAGTGCTGTACCCAATGTCACATGGCAAACAATTCATGTTAGGAAGTGTTGAAAGAGAGGAGAAACAAAAAGAAACTCAACATTTTAATTTTCATATAAATTATGTAAATACTTTCCAAAAAGTATCTACAATATTCCACTGTACAATATATTAAAATGGCATTGGAGAAGCTAGAGATCACAGAGAAACTGAATAAGGCACAAGGTTTATTTACACTCAGAATTGTATTCTAACCTGTTTTATAATGCATATTTACAAACCCCATAAAGTTTTTGTATTCTGAATTACTCCTTCACAGTTTCTGATATTTGGCATAATGTTCAAAGATACTTCATGCACACTGACCTCTGCCAACACAACTCACAATTCTAAATAAATACTAGAGGAAAATAATGAAGACATTATTTGAAGGCTTGGTCTTCTAATAACTTCAAGAAGACAGTAGAGTCAGTTCATTGTGCTGAAATGCTACACGTGAAGAACTGTAAGTCATCTGAAAAATATATTATCTCTGTTCAAGTACCAACAAATAAAACTAATATGAATCTGTCAACAGTAATGTGACTGACAGGCTGGTCTCTATGTCCCATCGCTCTCATAGTCTTCTATGATCATGTCTTCTTCTTCCATGTCTCCCTGGGCTGCAAATGGCTGAGGTTGACTAGCAGGCAGTTCACTCCCACTATTCTGACTGGAAGGAAGAGAGGAGGCCGATTCAGTGGCCTGTGTGCATTCACTCAGAGCTTCCTTTGCAGGCTGACCTCCATTAAGCTGTGCTTCATCTCCACTGTCTGAGTCTATAATTCCATGCTCCCTGTCAGTGAGGGCTTCCATTTTCAACCTGTAAAATTCATAATACAGGCATTAATAATAACCAAAGTAGGAGATCGGGAGTGTGGTAATTAGGAAGTCATGAAAAGACAGTACTAGTCTGTCATTTACTCTTACTGTACTGTTTTGTCAAAATCTTTCATTTATTGACAATGAATTACATTAGTGAATAAATTACATTAGTGAATAAGTTACATTACAACTTAGAAATGAACTGATTAGTGTCATTAGTAAAGAGTCCTTACAAAAAAATAAATTTAAAAATGGGCATAAAACATGACCTGGGGCCTCCCCTGGTGGCGCAGCGGTTGAGCGCTGGGCTGCGAAGCTGCCCACATCCTCCGCAGCGCCGGTTCGATCCCTGGCCGCCAGAGAGGGTCCCACATGGCACAACAGACCTCTCCTGACGCGCCTGCTGCTGCCCTCAGCAATGTATTTTGTCAGTCTGCCTGTTCTGTTCCCTGCTCTGGCTCTGGTGAATTCTCTCACCCTCCTGCGCTTCTGACTGTACCCAGTGCTTGTATAAAATAATAAATAAATAAATCTTTTTCCAAAAAAAAATAAATAAATAAAACATGACCTGACAACTTACAGAAGAAATACAGATAGTCACTAAATAAATTCTTCAATTTGTAACTTTAAAATTGGCAATTACCTTTTAAAAGAAAACTCAGTGGTGGCAAGAGTTAGGAGAAAAGAACATGATGATATACTGTTAGAAGGATAAAATTGGCAAAATATTCCTGGAAGCAATCTGGTAATACAGACAGACTAAAGGCTCTAAAGGGTGTATATCCATTGATTCAGCAATTTCATTTCTAGAAACTCATCCTGGATAAACAGTATTTGATGTGCACCATGATTTAGTTACTAGAAAGGCTGTGATAAAAGTTGGAAACAAAACAAGCAGAAATATACAAAAATAAGTTCTAGGTTGAATTATATAGGAAACCATACAGTTTTTAAATGGTACATTTAATACCAATATGAATGAACGATAATGTTAAAATATGGTCATAGTAAGTGATAGTGAAGTGTCTTTTGCTACAAAAGATACTTGTCCTCCCTTGATTTTGATGCCATAATCTTGAGGGTAAAGAAGCCTGTGAAGAGAGTTGGTCTTGCTTGAATTCAGAGGGTTATGAGGGACAAAGCAAAGTTTATAAAAGATATGAGCCCTGATCACTTCCCAGTGGGATGATGCTTTAAGACCCACCCATCACTGACTTTCTATAACAGGAAAGATGGGCGCTACAGAGTTAAGCATAAGCCAGAAGAAACCATTAATACCACAAAGGCTTTAAGGAATCTATGAGGGTGACAGGGAAAAAAATCCCAGACAAGCAAGTTTTCCATTGGAAATTCCTTCCCACCAGGAAGGAAAAGAACAGGCAGGAGAATAAGTGCCATTTATATAATTCACTTTTGTTCCTGAAAATAGGAATAAAAGAAACATCTTTTTAAATCTTTTGAAAAAAATGCCTGAGTATAATTTGACCTACAAATAAGCTCAGTGGAAACGAAATAAAGATTTTGTGTTAACCACTGATATTAGCCCGAGTCATTTTATAGTAAAATCAACAGTACTGATAAAGACTTAAATTTCTATTTTTTTTTTCCAGTTGTCTAAATTTTCTATGATAAGGGAATAATGAAGACAATGTTATCTTTTGAGGTAGTTCCTCCTGGTCACTGTAGGCTTCAAACATAGGCTAAGAATACCTCTTGGCAGGAAAACTAAAAAGGAGATTATAGATATGCAGATATATTGAACTAAAAGATTTTAAAGATTCTTTTGCCGTTGTGATTTCATGAGCCTATTTAACCTGATATTCTATCATATATAGTACATACCATAGATAGACCTACAATGCAATTATATGGCCCTTAATCATTGGGCATAATATGTATATTTTATTTTACAGACATCATTTAGTGATTGCATATTGAATAGACAACATGCAGTGGACTATTCAGAAACAGTTCTTTGAAAATTAAAATTATTATCTGACCTTCCAAAGTGTCGCTTCAGAGGAAGTCTCCCAACATCTTGTATAAAAGAAATCTGAGCTGAAACAGAGATTTAGAAAAAGCTTTATATAGACATTTCTCCAAAGAACATATACAAATAGCCAATAAACATAAAAAGATGTTCAAAATCACTAATCATTAAGAAAATACAAATTAAAGCCACAAGATACCAAAAGCTATTACAAAAAAAAAAAACAAAAAACAACCCCCCCCCACCCCACACACACACACAAACCAAAAAACAGAAAACACGGTTTGGCAAGGATGTGGAGAAACTGGAAACCTTGTGCATTGCTGATGAGAATAGAAAAATGGTATAGCTGATGGTAAAGCAATTCCTCAAAAACTTAAAACATTTATTATGTGATCTAGAAATTCTATTTCTGGATGTACAATCAAAAGAACTGAAAGCATGGCCTTGAAGAGATATTTGTATACCCATGTTTATAGAATTGTTATTGAAAATAGTCAAAAAGTGGAAGCAGTACCTTCCTGGTGGTACAGGGGTTAAAGACAGCACTATTAAGATATCACCAGCCACTGCAGCACTAGTTCAATCCCTGGCTGGCCAGTGAGCAGCCCACAGGGTGCAGCAGACCTCTCTTGCCTTGCCCCTGCTCCCCTCAGTCGTGTATTTCAGTAGATCTTCCTGTTCTGCTCCCCACTCTGTCTGGTGAATCCTCTCACCTCCTGCACCTCTGGCTTACACCCCAGTTCTAGTATGCATAAATAAATCCTTTAAAAAAAAAAGTGGAAGCAATTTAAGTGTCCACTGATAAATGGATAAACAAAATGTGGTATATTTATAGCATGTAATTTTATCCAGTCTTCAAAGTGAAGGAAATGCTATAATGTGGGTGAACCTTGATGACATGGTAAGTGAAACATGTCAGCCACAAAAAGATATTTAAGATTCTACTTATATGAGGTACTAAAAGTGGTCAAATTCATGGAAACAGAAAGTATGTGGCATGTATGAGGGCTTATTTAGTGCTTTATGTTTATAGTTCAATTGTTCAAGATAAAAATGTTCTGGGGACTGGTTGCACAATGAGATGAATATGTTTATCAGTAGTGAAATGTATTATTTAAAACAGTAAATTTTATGAGAAAAATATTTAAGAAAATACAAAGCAAGAGGCTATGACACTGGAGCCATGATCTCCTTCTTTCCTTCTTCAGCCTGAAAGACGCTTCACTCTATGGTTACAACCAAAAACAGGACTCCCCTCTTGGTGCGCACAGCCAGCTGAGAGTTTGGTATTCCCTGCACACCCAGCCCCCACCCACAATTTGGAGGTTCTACTGCAGTAACCAGTGTAGCACAACAGGTTGGTGTGAAACCCAATGAAGCAGACAGTTAAAGAAATAAGGGATAGAAACAAAAAGAGTCCAGCTGAAACCACTGTCATCCCAAGGTGACTGTGCACGCAATAGTCCATGCTGAATTCTCTGAGAAATAACAAAGGCTTCATTAAAACAGTTCAGCCAAGTCAATAAACAAACAGCAACCAGTGATTAAAAACAAGCCCCAGCAAGTAGGGAGTAAACACCCAGGGTTTACTACAATATATTACCTAAAATGTCCAGTTTTCAACAAAACACTGCAAGACTATACAAATAAAGTGTGCCCCATATACAGCAAAGAGGGAGGCCACGGAAACTTCCTGTGAGAGGGCCCATGTATTAAGTTTAACAAAGACTTCACAGACGCCATTATAAATACATTTAAAGAATAAAAAAGAAACCATGCTTAAAGAAGTAGAGGTGGCTATAATTATAATTTCTCATCAAATAAAGTATATTAATAGAGAAATTACAAAAAGAACCAAATGGAAATTCTAGAGTTCAAAAGTAAAATAACCAAAATTCACGAGAGGCTAATAGTAGGATTTGAATGAATAGGTAGGAAAATCAATGAACTTAAACATTGATTGCTAGAGATTACGCATTTAAAGAAAAGAGAGAAAACAAGAAATGGGATATTTGTAAGCATGTCAACAAATATTTAATAGATAATTAGAAAAGAGGACAAAATGAGAGGAGCAGAAAAAATTTAAGGAAATAATGTCTGAAATGACACAGTTAATAAAATGAAAGAAGTGGGATAAAAATTGGTAATAACAAAGTCAAAACATCTGAAGGTGTAATGCCATTAAAAAAAATTACCATTAGCTAATCATCACAGATTGAGCAAATAATCATCTCTTATAAAAGGGATTCTAGAGAGAGTTCTCTCCACCATTCAAGACACAACAACAGACACTGTAACTAGTGCTTGAAGTTTTAATGAGATGGGATATTTACATAGTCTGAAAGCATCTCCCCACAAAATACTAACTCTATACTGGAAAACCTGAGATATATCATTTTAGTATGTAATAAAAGTTAGCGTTGCTAATAATGGTATCAAGAGACATCACATTCTCCTGATACGATGCACTGACAACACAACATCACTTCTGTGGTTTTCTTGCCAAATTTACATACTCTGAATCAAATCATAAGGAATCAGCAGACAAACCCAAACCGAGGCAGTCTACATTTTAACTGTCCTATATACCTCAAAAATTTCATGGACAAAGAAAGATCAGGTAGTGTTCCAGACTAAAGAACACTAAAGAACATGACAAATAAATAAATAAATGCACTGTTACCTTGCACTGGATTCTGGACAAGAAAGGGACTAAGTTTTTGTTGTTATTTTACAAAGGACAATATTAGGACAACTGGCAAAATATGAAAGGAGTCTAGTGTATCAATGTTAAGTTCCTAATATTGATATGCATGTTTTATGGTTATATAGAAGAATATCCTTGTTTTCAGTAAATACAGAGTGAAGGATTTAAGAAAAATGGGCATCACATCTGCAATGCACTCAAAAACAGTTAAGAACAAAAATACATGTGTGTGAATGTATATTTAGAGAAAATGGGAGAGAATAAAAGGCAAAATAAGAAAACTTGGGTCTTCCTGGTGGCACAAGGGGTTAAGTCTCAGCACTATGAAGCTATTGGCAGCCACTGCATCTTAAGTTTGATTCCCGGCCAGTGAGATAACCCACATGGTGTAACAGACCTCTCCTGTCTCACCCACTGCTGCCCTCAGCAGTGTATTTCAGTATACTGTTCCCCACTCTGTCTCGGGTGATCCTCTCACCCCCTGCACCTCTGACCTGTACCCCAGTTCATGTATGCATAAATAAATAAATCTTTATAAAAAAAACAAAAACTTTAAGATTGAAGAATCCTGATAAAAAATATTTAAGAATTATTTTGTACCATTCCTGTAAGTTTTTTCTAAGTTTTAAATTATTTCAAAATAAAATTTAAAAATTAATTTAATCTTAAAATGGGCAGTTATAAGGAAATCTCTAGGTTCTGATCCACAGGTTAATCACATTCATTGCAGAAAAGTTATCTCATTTCTGCCTATGAATGCAGACCACTTTAAATATTTAAGTAATAATACTTAAAAAAAAAAAAAAGATTTATTGGGGCATCCCTGGTGGCGCAAGGGGTTAAGACACAGCACTATGACGCTACCTGCAGCCACTGCAGCACAAGTTTAATCCCCGGCCAGGGAGGAAACACACATGGCGCAGCAGACCTCTCCTGACTGGCCTGCTGCTCCCCTCAGCAGTGTAATTCAGTCAATCTGCCTGTTCTGTTTCCCACTCTGTCTCTGGTGAATCCTCTCACCTCCCCCCAACACTGCTGGCCTATACCCCAGTACTTGTATGTATAAATAAATCTTTAAAAAAAAGAGATTTATTTATTTATGCATATAAGAAGTGGGTATAGGCCAGAGGTGTGGGGGGGTGGTGGTGGTGAGAGGATTCACCAGACAGAGTGGAGAACAGAACAAACAGAATGACTAAAATACACTGCTGGAGGGTAGAAGCAGTCAAGGCAGGAGAAGTCTGCTGCACCATGGGGATAGCTCCCTGCCTGGGGATCGAACTCATGCTGCAGTGGCTGCGAACAGCTTCACAGGTTGCATCTTAACCCCTTGTACCACCAGGGAGGTCCTAAGTAATAATACTTTTAAAAGCCATGACTCTTATTATCTGAAGAGAAATATCCTAGAATCCTCTCTTCTAATACCTAATAAGACAAACCCTATCTTTAAAATTTCTGAAAAGGGGCCTCTCTGGTGGCGCAGGCAGTTGAGCGCCGCACTGTTAATCTGCCTGCAGCCTCTGCAGTGCGGGTTCAATCCCAGGCGGCGGGCGAAAATCCCACAAGGCCGGTAGACCACTCCTGTCTTGCCCGCTGCTCCCCTCAGCAGTGTATTTCATCAGTCTGTCTGTTCTGTTCCCCGCTCTGTTTCTGGTGGTTCCTCTCACCCTCCTGCACATCTGGCCTGTATCCCGGTTCTTGTAAAATAAATAAATCTTTAAAAAAATTTTTAAAAAAATTTCTGAAAAGTTTGATAATCATAAAGTATTTTTTAAAATATTACACAAACGCACAATTTTTTCCCTAACCTAAAGATCAACACAGACATGTGAGCTATGACTGTTAATGAAATGTGGTTCTTTTTTTATCTAAAGATTTATTTATTTATTTTTATACAAGAGCTGGGGTACAGGCCAGAGGTACAGAAGAGTGAGAGGATTCACCAGAGACAAAGCGGGGAGCAGAACGGGCAGATGGACTGAAATACACTGCTGAGGGGAGCAGCGGGCACGACAGGAAGTCTTCCATGCCATGTGGGAATTTCCACGGCCAGTCGGGAATCGAACCTGTGCTGCAGAGACTGCGGACAGCTTCACAGCGCTGCGCTCAACCCACTGCGCCACTGGGGAGGTCCTGAAATGTGGTTCTTAAAAGACACATTAAAAAACACAAACAGGGTCTCCCTGGTGGCACAAGCCATTAAGACACAACCTATGGGGCCTCCCCAGTGGCGCAGCGGTTGAGCGCTGGGTTGTAAAGCTACCCGCAGCCTCTGTAGCGCCAGTTCGATCCCTGGCTGCTCCCCGGCCACCGGAGGAGGGTCCCACATGGCGCGCAGACCTCTCCTGCCGCCCGCTACTCCCTCGCAGTGTACCTCAGTCCTTCTGCCTCCTCTGCTCCCTGCTCTGGCTCCGTGAATTCTCTCACCCTCCCGCGCTTCTGACTGTACCACCCAGTGCTTGTACAAATAAATAAAAAAATCTTAAAAAAAAAAAAAAAAAAAAAAAGACACAACCTATGAAGCTATCCACAGCCACTGCAGCACAAGTTTGATCCCTAGCCAAGGAGATACCCACATGGCACAGCAGACCTCTCCTGACTAGCCCACTGTTCCCCTCAGCAAGTGTATTTCAGTCAATATGCCTGTTCTGTTCCCCACTCTGTCTCTGGTGAATCCTCTCACCCACCCCCCACCCCCACATCTCTGGCCTATACCCCAGTTCTTGTATGCATCAATAAATAAATCTTAAAAAAAAAAAAAACAAACAGAAACAACTGATGGAAAAATTGGTAAAGATCACAAAAAGGCAAACCTCAGTAGGCCTTTTTAGTAGCTTACTAGTTAGCTTGCGCAGGTGTACACTGCCATAGATACACTATTATTTTTTTACATTTAACCTACAAATTAACATTTATTATTTTTAAACCTGGAAAGAAACATACAATTAATGTTAATTGTAATATTGAAATCAACCAAATATCACTAAAGTTAAATAAGTTTAAAAAAAAAAGAGATTTGAGTATATTTTAGCATTGTTGCTTTTAGGAACTGAAAGTCTATGTCATCCCAAACCCATACTTTGAAGTCTAACCTCCAATTTGACGGCATCAGGAAGAGGAGCTTTGGTGCAAACTAGGGCATATGGGTTAGCCTGCATGAATGGGATTATCGCCCTTATCAAAAAGAGTCCGGAGAGAGGTCTCCCAAACATGAGGATACAATTAGAATTTGGCCATCTGCAAACTAGGAAGCAGACAGTTATCAGAGACTGGATCTTCTGATATGATGGTTTTGAACTTTCCAGCCTCCAGAGCTGCCGTAGCACAACCTTATAAATTATGGAATGCTATTTATAGTGACATAAGCAAATTAAACTTTCTATCTATTATTTGTACATGCACAGAAAAATGTCTGGAAGAATTTATACCAATCTTGTCAAAAGGAATTACCTGTTAGCTACAGGGGAGATACTTTCAAATTTTACTTTGTATTCCTTTCTTTCTTTTTAAATCAAAAAGCTTGTATACTAAATAAAAAAAAAAATCACAGGAAATATCTTAGACTCACAAATATATAGCAATGAGTTGACCCACAAAAAGATAATGTTATAAAACACTATTTCTCGGGAAAAATACAAGTCCACATTATTACCTTGATTTCTCATTGGAATGGTTAGCAAAGCAAGGTATGGCAACAATTGAGTTTGGAGGCATAAAGCTGGTAAGCAGAAGTCAGAAAAAAGTGCTTTTGCAGCCAGGCAATTTTCCCGATACTGTACAGAAGAAAAAACAAAAAAAGATTATGAAAAATAAAATTAAAAATATGGGTATGTATTCCAAAACAAACTAAGCTTATTGCATTACAAAAGATATAGGTTTATAAATTACAAATACACTTTGAAGACTTTAGTCCTTCATAACACAACTATTTTACAACTGATGTAATAGCAGTAAAAATTTTTACAGAGACTTAAGATACAAGATATCAAAAAAACCCACCAAATTTAAAAATAAAAGAAGGGAGGGTTGGTAAATGGGTAAAAGGCAACAATTTTATGACGAAGGCTAGAACTGGACTTTTGGTGGTGACAGTGGTATACACACGTTGATTTTCAAGGAGCATAGCTAAAACTTACGTAATGTGATAATGCAATGTTATTTTAACAAAAATAAGCAAGATTTAAACCAAAAAAATAGGAAATATGAGGCTGTAGCTCAGAGGGATCCCCTTCCAGGGAATGACTCAATATGAACTCTTTTTTTTGATTAAACAAATGGTATCCTGCCCTCCCGCCATCTTCCAAACTGAAAACAAGAGGCACCAGCAATATAGTAGTGAGCATAGCTGCCTTCCAAATTCAAAACAATGATAAAATTCAGTTAGTAAAAAAGAAAAACCTCAAAGGGATTCTGTTTATGGCATATACACATCATAAATTATGTGAGATACTTTCTCAATGAATGACTTTCAGTTAGCACAAGTGCAATGTTAGGCTGATGAAGAAAGAAGACTAATTTCTGCCTTCAAGGAACTAACAGCTTCCTTCACCCAAAAGACCAACACAAAAGGAAGGAGGAGCACTCCCATCTTCAAGGGGTAGATTCTACTTGGCATGAACAAACAGCTGTCATGTAAAACTATGCACCAGTGCTGACTTACTTTCCATTTTTCCAGGAGATTCTAGAAATTCCAAAGCCAGAAATACACATCTGATTTTTATTTCTGGCACTTCATTTAAAAAAAAAAAATCCTGTGTGTTGTATTTAACTTTGTGGGTCACCTGTTTTTGAACTCTAATTCAATCCTCTACACTTACAGCTGTGTAAAACTAAGTATGCAACATGTGAAATAACTTATTTAGCTTGTTAGAGGCAAAGTCAGTTTATTTTCAATTAAAACTAAAATATAATTAGATTTTGATTTCAATAATAGTCAACTAATAAATAAAACAGATATGTGCTTTCAAGTTTTTAGTGCCTTTATCCCCTTAAAAATGACTAAGCATTCGAAGACTGTCCTTTCCGTTTTATCATTATTCTAGAAAACTCTGAGAATTAGCAACTACATTTTTTACTAAGAATATTATTCTTTTCTTAAAATGGCTATATTGAGATAAAATTCACGTAACATTCACCTACTGAAAGCATACAATCTTTTATTTATTTATTTTTTTTTACCTTTTTATTTATTAAAAACCACTGGGGCTTGTGCAAGGGACGAAAGCTTGATCCTCCTCCTTGAGAATGAGCAAATCCTCGGACTTTGTTGGAATGTATTACACCTCTTGTAGCTATAGATGTACTATATTCCCTGAGTAAAGAGCGTGTCTAATAAAGGAGACAAGAAATAAAGAAAATAAAAAATTTGTAAAACAGTACTATTGGTACACTGGCAGCAAAAAAAAAACTAGCCATGTCTAATTAATGTATGTTCATTTTTTCACCACCACAGTCCTAAAAATAAGTCACAAAATTATTCAACTGAGACAAACCAATCAAATCAAATTATGATCAGAAAATTACTTTAGAAAAAACTGCTACTGTATTGTCACCAGAAAAATCAAATTGACTGCAACTGAACACCCAGATACAAAAAAAAAAAACAAAACTCCATCACAGAAAGTCCTATTAGACAGCACTTTGATATCTTGTAACAATATTTATGAGTTATAAATATATTGAAATAGGATGAAAATTAGAAAAGATACAACAAAAAAATTTGTGATACAGCTTCTAACTGTTACATTTAGAGTTTCATCCAGCAGTTGTTTCTCAACTCTGAGGTAACAAAAACATTGAAGTCAAAAGATCTTACATTCCAGTCACCACTGAGGATATCTGCAAAACTCAGAAATTCACTGGCTCTCACAAGATCATCTATTTCCACAAAGAAATCTATGTAGTTCTGGTGAAGATATAAATTGAATAACTCTCCAGGCATGTGTGACATTTCTACCACTTCCTATTAAAAAAAGCATATATACGTAATTTTTACACAAATGCAGGAGTCACATGTATATGCAGGCAATTTTAAGTAATGTGTATCTTGTAAATAGTATTGTTATTAATGATTTTACCTCAGGTTGAACAAGTAAAGTATCCCGCTCATATTCTGATAGATGAGAAGGCAATCGAGGTACATCTAACTCTGTTGAAGATGCCCCTACAAAAAATAAGTATCTTTATAATTATACAGTACCACTCAATTGAAGCTTTTTTATCACTTTGGGTACAGGATGACAAAAATACTATAAAAGTTGTTATAAATAAAAGACTGGAACTTATGTGAATTGTCTATTATTAGCAAAAATTAAATTTAGAATTCTGATGCCAGGATTATGGTTTTTCTAGACTTAAAATATCCCATTTCTCAAAGTAATCCACATTTCACCTTTCCAGCTCTCAGAAGCTGTCTTCTTTCGCATCTCATCTCAGTACACAGGTCTCTAGTGTTTTAGTTATTACACTGGAAGATGGCTGCTCTCTGTAGGAGAGAATGGGAATCCCATTTCCTAATAGGAGGTTCACAAATAAATATTGAAGAGAAAAAAAAAAGGTGGAAAGGAAATAACCAGTGGGAATGATGACTGAGGTTCAACAATAAGAAGATCTAAGGGCAGTGAAGCGTCTTATTTTCTATTTTAGTGATGCCGGTTTCTTTCTGCTTAGGCAGCATGCAGGTTTCCACTTAGAAAACCCAATTTTCAACTATCTGGAAAGAAGGAACTGGAAAGAAGGACATTAGGGTAAAACAAGGACACCTGGAGTAAGGAGAGAATGTAGGAGAAATATAGAAACACAACATAATAGAAAGAGGTAAAAGACAGGAAAATAGGGCCTCTCTGGTGGCGCAAGGGAAGCACTATGAAGGTTTCCCCAGCCAGCCAGGGAACTACCCATATGGCACAGCAGACCTCTCCTAACTTACTTGCTGCTCCCCTCAGCAGTGTATTTCAGTCAGTCTGCCTGTTCTGTTCCCCACTCTGTCTCTGGTGAATCCTCTCACCCCTCCTGCACTTCTGGCCTATACCCCAGTTCTTGTATGCATAAATAAATCTTTAAAAATAAGTGTAGGGCCTCCCCTGGGGGCGCAGCGGTTGAACACTGGGCTGCAAAGCTGCCCGCAGCCTCTGCAGCGCCAATTCGATTCCCGGCCGCAGGGGAAGGTCCCACATGCTCGACAGACCTCTCCTGCCACGTCCACTGCTCCACTCAGCAGTGTATTTCATCAGTCTGCCTATTCTGTTCCCCGCTCTGGCTCTGGTGAATTCTCTCACCCTCCCGCGCTTCTGACTGTACCCAGTGCTTGTATAAATAAATAAATAAATAAATAAATAAATAAATAAACAAATAAATAAATAAAATAAAATAAAATAAAATAAAATAAAAATAAGTGTATCAGATTAAAAAAAAAAATTCCTGGGGCCTCCCCTGGTGGCGTAGGTGGTTGAGCGCCACGTTGTGAAGCTGTCCGCAGCCTCTGCAGCACGGGTTAGATCCCGGCCTGCTGGCGAGGATCCCACATGGTGCTATAGACCTCTCCTGTCTCGCCCGCTGCTCCCCTCAACAGTATATTTCGTCAGTCTGCCTGTTCTGTTGCCCACTCTGTCTCTGGTGAATCCTCTCACCCTTCCGCAGATCTGGCATGTATCCCGGTTCTTGTATAAATAAATCTTTAAAAAAATTAAAAAAAAAAAAAAAAAGAAATTCCCATTTTCTACATGAAGAACAGGAGTTAGGGATTTTATTGAAAGGAGGGACAGTTTTGAGATGGGCTTTGAGATGGGCTAATGGGGAACGGACGCGATCAGGAGAGGAGGTGTCAAAAACAGATGAGGACCATGGAACATGTCCAGTTGGGGAGAAAGCAGATAGTGAAGGAAGAAATGTAAAAGGATCCAAAGACACATAAAGCTACTTGGTAATTTTCTTAGAGCGTTGGAGGTCAGAGCCTAGTGCTAAGAGGGCTTTGGGCTATACTTGCCACCAAAAGTCCAGATAGACTGATGTCTTATTTTTATCAAACTATACGTTTAATGATCTATAGACATTTAAGGCCTACAGTAGTTTCTGCATCTAATTCCACTCATAATCCACAAATATTCCATCAAAATACATTTTCCTATTATGTCTTAGGCCTTGCCAAACAGTATCTGACCTATCCTAGCTCGCTCTTGTAAAAGAAGCAAATATATGTCATTTTAAAAATGTGTTTAATTTCACTTGTAAGATTAATGGTTAACAAAATAGTAATAAAATAAAAGGTATAAGGTTTCCTTACTTTTACAATACAGTATTTTCCCCAAAGCTCTGAAGAGAAAGAGTGAAACATCTTTGCCACCAATAGCTTGAACTTCTTGATTTTCAGAAACTGTATCAGGTTTTTTCCTTCGTTTTGATTTTAACAGTGCTGGATCTGATTTTAAAGACACTTCTTTTTTCCTTGGCCATATATAGTTGTCTCCTAAATAACATACACCCAAGTGGCAATATTTGAGATAAAATTAAAATATGAAGATTAAAACTGAGTATATTTCATATAGTTATATAAAACATTCTAATTAAAAACATTTTCTAATATACAATAATCATAAAATACGTGCACTGAGTTAGTGTCGTCTTTAGGATACTAAACTAAAATGGAATGTCATCTAAAAGTATCTGTGACAGAAGTTTCAAATTTTCACACACACAATGACATACTGTCTACAATCTCATACAATAACATCACCTTGATTTCTCAGTTACATGTACTATTTTTGGTGTATGGTGTATTAACTAATTTAATCTTTATAACAATTCTATTAAAAGAAAGCTATTACCATACAGATCAAAGATATCAAGACATTCAAGATATAAAGGTTTTGTGACTGGAACTGGCTCCAGCTAGTGAGTTAGTTGAGTCTAGGCAGTTTGGTTCTATAATCCATGTTTATCAACTATGTTATATTACCTCTATACTGATTTGGGCATTCTCCAATTTATGAATGTGCCTATGCTTAACTTTCACTGGTTAGTCTACTGTTTAAAACTCAGAAAAGCAGCCTGGAAAAGCAGAAAACAAAGGATCTGGGTTTAAATCCTATGATTGTCTATCTAATTAGGCTGGTGTGAGAATGAAAAGGATATACAATATGCAATTACTAATTAATTCCTAATCCACTCAAAAATTATTTCCTACCATTTAAAATTTCTGAGCTCAAAGGAATAACAAAATGGCCCACTTCAGTGTTCCTAATAATAATTCAAGGAGTAAAACTAAGCATCATTTGCGTAGTATTTCTACAAGTATAAGCAGAATTCTGAATTTCTTTGTAGATATTTTGAAAAATAAAGATGTAACCTAAATGAACAGGTGGAAATTAGAATTTTAAGTGGCTTTTGAGAGTTCCAAAGAGGGCTTTTAATTTTTAAAGTCATTTCCTTAGTGTTAAGCATCAATTAGGTTACTTGCTAAGTATTTTCTGCTGAGGACTATGTGTAGCAAACTATGATCATTGAAGTGTAATTACTGCCCTTAAGGCTCTCTCTTTATCACAGCATGGCTACAGACCTTTTTTACATATTCATGAGGAGAAGTGAATTTGTAAAACATATCATATAAATTATTATGAACTAAGTTCAAAAGTAAACCTACTTTAGCATAATACTATTAAATCCATTAACAGCTGGTTATTTATTGAGTAATCAATATGTGTCAAGCCCTGTAATAAACACTGTATTGTCTCACACTTCACACAATTGTATGAGACAACTTCTGACACATAAGATGACAAATAGTGTCACAGTTTAAGCCATCTGCAAAAATAAGTCACCAGAAAGTGGCACAGTCACGATTTTCACCCAAGAAGTCTCATTCCAAATTAACTTTGAAAGGCAAAGTAGCAAATCACATAAGGGAGTCAGGTTTTGCTTCAAATAGCTATATGAATATACAAGGTATATTCACAGGGATGCATTTTGAATGTGTACACACATAACTTTAAGACACTGTCTCAATATGGAAGCTCTATGTTTAGTAGGTCATTCCATATGATCCAGCAATTCCACTCCTAGATATTTACCCAAAGGACACAGAAACATCAATTCCAAAGAGCACCTGCACCCCTATGTTTAGAGCAGCACTGTTTACAATAGTTAAGCTTTTGGGCAACCCAAATACCCAAAAATAGATGACTGGATCAAGAAGATGTGGTACATATACACCATGGAATATTACTCAGCATTCAAAAAAGATAAACACAAGCAATTTGCAGCAACATGGATGGCGCTGGAAGGGATCATGCTCAGTGAAATAAGCCAGAAAGAAAAAAAAAAAAAATACCGGATGGTGTCACTCATAGCAGGAATCTAGAAAACTTAAATAAGGGACCAGGAAAAAGAATAACTATAAGAAAGAAAATATCAAAATCAACAAACAACTATGAACCAGAGACACTATATGGGGGGTGGGGGGCGAGGAAAGGAGGGATTGGGGTCAAAATAAGGGGGTTGTAATTGTATGGGGAATATAAAAATAAAATTTAAATTAAAAAAAAAGACACTGTCTCAATAAAAATTTAAGAGGTGATAAGTAAGTATCACAAGTTAAAAGGTATAAGAGAAAGTCATCTATATAATGGAATATATCTTCTATGGTTACCTTTTGAAGATGAAAACTGGAGGCTGTTTATTGCACTTCTGATATCACCAGAACATCCTTGACAGAGCAATTCTAGAGAAGTTTTATCAGGGATGATAATTTTACTTCCATTCTAAAATTTAAAAAATTAAAATTAAAAGGAATATTTTCCAAAACAAAAGACCAAAGACTATTTCTAAAACAAAGACTTCCTCCCTCATTTTCTAAACTTAATGCACATACACTAGGCTCTTTCTAACTTGAATGCTAAAAGGCAACCAGGTGCCTATAGAAGGTACCTAAAACCCCAGTCTGCCTTTGAATGGTGTAAGTGTGAATGACCTATTGCAGTTTAAGGTAAAGTTTCAAGAGTGCAAGATATTGTTTCCCCTTTTTACTTGGACTAGGTTATATTTTGAAGTTCTACATCTCACTATATATATATATACATATACAAACATGTATGTACATACACACAGACTGAAAACACAGTATTACACAAAATTAAGTACCCCCAAAATTGAATAAATCTGCAATTTACATGAAAATCCCATATGCTGGGGTTTCCAGCATATTACCAGTCGGTCAATAACAAAAAGTTACTAGAGCAGCTGAGGTTTCCAGCATACTACCAGTCTGTCAATAACAAAAAGTTACTACAGCAGCTGATTTAAAGCCTATGTTTTTTTTTTTTTTTAAAGATTTATTAATTTATGCATGCAAGAACTGGAGTACAGGCCAGAGGTGTGGGGGGTGAGAAGACTCACCAGAGACAGAGTGGGGAACAGAACAGGCAGATCGACTGAAATACACTGCGGAGGAGAGCAGTGGGCTAGATGGGAGAGGTACGCTGTGCCATGTGAGTTAGCTTCCTGGCTAGGGATTGAACTCATGCTGTAGTGGCTGTGTATAGCTTCAGAGTGCTGAAGCTTAACCCCTTGCACCACCAGTGAGGCCCTAAAGCCTGTTTCATATAGATATTTACAATGTATAAACTATTATGTATATATTTAAACTATTTATATAGTTTATATATTTAAACTATTATGTATATATAGATATTTACAATGTATAAACTATTATGTATATATTTAAATTTAGGTAAATTTAAAAATTTAAGTACACACAAACACATATTTTTTTTATGTCTCACATGTGAAACACTTGGTAGTTTAACGTAAGAAAAATATATCCCCTCTTTGACCTCAGAAACTCCTGTTTAGGGACATGATTCAAGTTGCTAAGAGAATAGATCTTAAATCTTCTCACCATGGAATGATAATTATGCAAAATGATGGAGGTATTAAGTTAATTCTACTGTGATAATCATAATCCAATATAAGTGTATCAAATCAACATTACACACTTTAAACTTACAAGAAGTTATATGTCAATTATATCTCAAAGCTAGAAAACAATGGTTGGATGGTAAATTTATCATGTGTTTTTTTTCAATCTCAATAAAAAAATTATTAAAATAAAAAGTGGCAACAGGGCAATATTAGAGTTGTATTGATAACTAATGTACCTAGATGCTAGGAAATACTTTGGTAATAGATGCAATGTGAACACTAAGGCAAACAAAGGGAAATTTACCTCACTGTGAAAAAGAAAGTTAAGTTTAATAGTAGAGAAAGGTAAAAGATCCTTTAACTTGATATACATTTTATAAACTGGCATGCCTTCTGAATGTAATAAAAATTTTTAATTCTAAATACTGAAATAAAATGTCCTCAACTCTTTTTTTTTTAATTTTTAATTTTATTTTTTTTTTAAGGTTTATTTATTTATCTATACAATCACTGGGGTACAGTCAGAAGCGAGGGAGGGTTAGAGAATTCACCCAGAGCAGAGAACAGAACAGGCAGATTGACAAAGTGCACTGCTGAGGGGAGCAGCAGGCGGCAGAAGAGGTCTGCGCACCATGTGGGACCCTCGCCTGGTGGTCAGGGATCAAACCGGCACTGCAGAGGCTGTGGGCAAATTCACAACCCAGCGCTCAACCGCTGCGCCACCGGGGAGGCCCAAAATGTCCTCAACTCTTGAAGTTATACAACACCATTTAAGTTTGCTTTCTATAATAACAACATAATATTCAAATTAATCAGTTCTTAAGGCTTACCTTATTAGCTTCTATTGACACTATTCGGTTAAGAAATTTCATCATAATTGTTGGTGCCACAGGGTTGAAACTGTCAGTTTTATAAAGAAAGACAGTATTAATGATTAATTTAAAAATATAACATATATGTGATGACTACAGGCAGGAATTTTTCTTACCTAATGTTTGATATACCACATTCTTCTTGAATTTCTTTGGGAAACAATAACCTCTGACTATTATTCTCTCCACTAACACTGTCAGAGATTATAAAAATTAAAGGACATCGACCAATCTGCACATATGTCCTAAGATAAAACAAAATAATATTGAAATTTAAGCTGTTACTTAATTTGGAATTTTAGAAAATGTCATTAAAACTCACCTTAGAACTTCATGTAATGTATGACAATCTCGATAAAATTGGTTAGGTAAATCCTGTCAAAAGCATAGAATAAACACTAGTTCAGTTTTATTCCCATGCAAATTTATTTTCAGATTTCAATTTATTAAGACAGGAAAAAATGCTATCTATCCAACGTACTGTGACAAGAACTTATATAGAAATTAAAGAAAATATGAAATAGTTGATATCCTAAACAGTACATATATTAATGCAAAGCCCAGTTTTCAGATCAAATTTCCTAGGGTCCTTTTTTTAAAAAAAAATTTTTTATTTTCTTACATCGTTGTTCACTTTTGAACACTAATTTATTTCTTTCCTCAGGTGTAGTCCCCAGAAATCTCCCACCACCATATCACCCATGAAATATCACCCTAATCCCTTGTGCTCCTCCCTCCTGTTTTGACCTTTACCCTCTTTCTCCCCTTACATATGCCTCAGCTCTAGTTTGCCTGCAATTTTTGTATTTTTTTGTGACTTGTAGGGTTACTTTTATAGTCTTTGTATTTTCATTAAAATGTAATTTTCCAAATATTTCTTTTGCTTTTCTATACCTATATCATGTAAACTTAAATTTAACAAATCTATAGTTACTCTATTCAAGTTTACTAAAAGAAATTTTAGTTTTATGTTATATTTTCCACTATTAATTCCCTGGGATGAGTAAATGTTATTATTACATAAGCTGTATCTTTCAATTGTTTACTCAATAATCAGAGCAGGATTCCAAAAATTGTGCTTACTTCAACCAGAATTATCTTCTTATCAGTTCTCAAATCATCTCCAAGCATTTGTAGTTTGTTATATTTTGTTGCTCTTAATAGAAACTCTTTAAAGACTGCTATCTGAGACTGATAGGGATGGAAGCTAGATTCTGTTAAGGAAACACATTTAATACTTTCATTTTCACCAATTATATATACATCAATTTATACATATGTTAATAATAGACATTAATATACATATATATGAACTAGTTCACAATAGTCTTTTCTAATTAGGCAAAAGTGCTTCAATTGAAAATGAGGATATTTATTTTAAAAAACAAGAATTACAATGGACAACAGTAATTTCTCTGTACCAGTAAATGTAATATGGAGTGAACAGACCAGAACAGTTGTTAATATATCATTAAACAAAAATACTTATGACTTTGGCGCCCCCTGGTGGCGTAGGGGTTAAAGACAGCACTATTAAGCTATTGCCAGCCATTGCAGCACTAGTTTGATCCTGGCTAGGGAGGTGACCCACATGGTACAGCAGACCTCTCCTGCCTCACTGGCTGCTCCCCTCAACAGTGCATTTCTGTCGATCTCCCTGTTCTGCTCCTCATTCTCTCTGGTGAATCCTCTCACCCCCTGCACCTCTGGCTTACACCCCAGTTCTTGTATGAATAAATAAACAAATCTTTTTTTAAAAAAAAAAAAGACAACTGCCAAGGAGGGGAAAAAAAAAACTTACAGCTTTGCCTATGCAATGAAGACTCTCCAAATGAGTGCATTACTCTAAATGAATTATTTTCAGTAATAATTGTTAAACAAAAACTGACTGACTAGTGAACTGTTTAGTGTATGAGAAGAAGGAAAAGCTATGGTTTATATGGACACATTTTATACAGAAGACTGTTTATACAGAAGACTTGCTATATTGTCAAAAATAATGTTATTGTCTAGAAAGCAGTAAATATTCCAAGAGAGGAAGACACAAACATATCCTCAAAGAATCTTTTCAGTATCCTTTCGTTATCTAACAAAATTTAATTCTCAAAGAATCCCATTCTCCTCCATTGGAGACACTTTATCCTTTCTTCTCCAGAGGTATTTCTCTCTGAAACTGGGAAGTATAGGAGAAAATTCATATAGGGAGTTTTCATCTGAGGGCTACTCAGACTTTATATGAGTTGATATTAAGCAGATGCCAATTTAGCATAAAAACGGCAATAAATACTTTCTCAAAAGTATACCCAAAAGCATCTTAGGAGTCTCAAGAATATAGATAGGCAATGTGTTTCACACTATATCAAGCAGACTTTTCCCACTATTTCCCCTATCTTCACAGCAAACCTTACCAGAATTAAAAAGCACCTTGAAATCATCTTTTTGGAAGTCTGGTAAAATTGGATTAATCCACTCTTGTACTTGAATACTAAGCTCCTTTGACAAAATTTTTATAGTTGTTGTTTTTCCACATCCAGGAGGCCCTGTTATTAATAAAATAGATCCACCCTAAAACAAACCCAAATATAAATAGTAATTAAAAATTAAAATCATTGGAATGCTAGTATACTATATCTACATTTTCTTTCTAAACATTACTTCTATAACCATTTACTGAATGTCTGCTATAAGCTGACTAAATTTCGTAATTATGCTACCTAGGAATAGACCAGCTTTAGCTAAAAGAATCTCAATTTCTGAACTTTAAGTGTAGTTTCTAATAATTATTCATTTTTTTGTATTATGTCCCTTCCAAGAACTACTTAATAGCCAAATAAAATCAACCAAACCAGCTATATTAAGAAGGTAAAGAGTTTAAGTCTGAAACAAGTATTTTTAAGGGTTATATGAACTCATAAAATCCTATTTTAGCAGTCTTTTTTGTATTATATACTATTATCATATAAATCTAATACTTTTATGGGAAGACATAAGTATTACTTTATTTGTACATCTGATTCTTTAAGAAATGTACACTAGGAAATACATTTACCAAAGACTAATGAGAGATCAGAAGTTAGTCCCAGTGATATTCTCTCATACAAAAATTCTAATAAAAAGTTAAAGCTAAAAAACCATCAGGAGTTTTCCTATATCCACTAGTGGGTTGTTAATCCTTGCTCATTTGTCTATATTTAATCACCACTTTTATTAGTAAGTAAAGCCTGTGCACTTGCACCAAGAAGAGAACCAGTCCCGTTTTTTAAAATGATAATACATTATAGTTCTACTGGACATGAGTTTGATGCTAATGACTCAATATTTTAAAAGCAAAAAGATTTATATAATCTGAAGAGAAACCAAAGAACCAATTAAATTTTTTTTTCTATTTCCTTAAAGAATATCATTGGAAAGAAAAAAAAAGAATATCATTGGGATTTTAATGGGGATTGCATTAAATCTATACACTGCTTTTGGGGAGAATAGTCATTTTCACTACATCAATTCTCCCTATCTTTGCATCTGCTTTTGTCTTGTTTAAATAAGGTGTCTTTAAACAGAAACATATAAAATGGACTAATGAAAATGTGATTACATTTCATTAGATTTCCCAGGAACCTAACCAAGTATTTCTCTTAGAAACAATGGTTCAGTATTTGCTAATTCAGTGTTTGCCTGCAGTAATTTGAAAGAATGTAACAAATGCCAATAATGAGACAAGACTTCCAAGCAGATTATTTTTTAAAAGACAGACAATCAAACATGACAGCCAGTCATTTGTGTCATGTAACAGAGTGAAGTGTCTTTTGACACAGTAAGTAAAGCTTCATAACAAAAGCTTTCAGTAAGAGAAGTGGGAGTTTCCTATCAGAACATTGAAAGACTTTTTTGTTAATTCCCCCTACTGTCTACATTGCAAAAGAATTTTACTACATATTGATAGAAGGCAATTACTGTAGAATAGTCAACTCAGTAAATAATTAGTGCATTTACAATCAATTTTAAAAAGTTTTAGTATGTCCATAGAGAAATTTAGAAGTCACCACATTTTTTTTTTTTTGGTATACAAATATCTTGTGATTGATTACTAACATCACTGAAACGTTTGTGTAATAAAGGATATAGGACTTATTAAAAGTCTAACTCCTTAGTGGCAAGTAGTCTTTAAAACTGTAGAGGAAACATTTTCCTCAATACCTATGTATTTACACACATACCTAATTTCATCCAACTGGTGAAACGAGAACAGTACCACATGTTTAGATTTAAGACATGATAATGATTATACTGAAAACAAAGTACTGCTAAGTGAGAAAACAGACAATGAAAAATACAAACTATACTAGCTGAGCTGATCAAATAAATCTGAAAAAATGCTTACATGTAAGAGGAGCATCAGGTCAACTACCAAGAATCTCAAAATAAGGTTTAAAAAGAGACAGAATGCTCTAAAGTGGGGCTGAGGGTAACTATAGAGTTAGGAAGTGAAAAAAAAAATATCAGTCTAAAATGAATGATGACAATTTTAGGCTCTATTTAGGGTACTGTGTAATTTGCCTGCTTTAGTTTGAATAATCTGATGTACTAAATATACTAACACCCTCTCTGGTTTACTGTGCTTTATGTCAATGACAGGAAATAAGAAGAAAAAAGAAGTGCAAGTAAAGGAAAAACTCAAAGTCTCCAAGTCTTATAGTGAGGCCAGAAGTAGAGCTTTCTATTGCAGGTAATCTGAACCTACTTAAAGACTTGATAAAAATTTAACTTCTCATAACCAACAGTGATGTTAAGTATTTCATTAAAAGCACATTTCTTCATATAATAAAAATAAAAGGAAAGCATGAGGCTTAAAAAAAAAAAGTACAAACCCAAGCATGTTTCTTATTTAATTACCTGTTTTGGTTGCCTTTCTAAGACTTCAGTTTTTAACCAGGTTTCAACTTCTTCAATTTTCTTTTTATGCACAGCAAGTTCATGCTAAAAATTTCAAGTTCAAAACATTTTAATTGAAGGATTTTTGGCACATCAGCATGGATTTATCTAAACATTTTCAATGAAAAAAAAACCTGGGCAAATAAGTAATATGATACGGTAATAAAAGAGACTTAATTACACTTAAATTTTTTAATTCTGTTAGAGAAAAATTCTGCTCTTAAACTGACACAACTGCATGACAAGTTTGGGCAGGTCTGCAACTAGAAACAGATTAATTCTATGTTGGTTAAATTCAATCTAAGACAAATGACCAATGATGTAACTTCAGAATAACGAAAAAAAAAAAAAACCTATGGAATTGTTTTTTCTTCATTTTTATTAGAAATATTGTTATGAGTAGTACTCTGAAAATGCACATCCTTCTCCTTTCTAAAATTAAATTATGTAGACTTGTTTGCATGGTATTTAATACCTGAGTTTCTGGTTTATATTTATCCACCCATGGTTCATTTTCAGAAGGATATTCCTTTGAATTTTCTAGTCCATAACTCTGTTCTGAGGAATAGAGTTTCCCTCTTTTTTGAGCTGGAAATCTGCTACTTTTTAATGTGGAAGGCACATTTTTTCTTCTATGACTTGAGTTATTCACACCTAGCGATGTGGCAGTAATAGTAGAGATGCCTATATTCTCTGAAAAATCATCAAATGACGGGTCAACCCAGTCAGTTACCTGAAAAAAAACAAACCATGTAAATATTATTACATTTTTGGCATTTATTTCCTATATAATTGAACTGCTCTGCAAAAAAAAAAAAAAAAATTTCAAATCCTTGCAATATCTAAAATAAAAATCTTACAAATAGTTATTTTATTTTTTTAAAGATTTATTTATTTATGCATACAAGAGCTGGGGTACAGTCCAGAGATGCTGGGAGGCAGGCTGTGTGTGTGTGAGAGGATTCACCAGAGACAGAGTAGGGAACAAAACAAGCAGACTGACTGAAATATACTGCTGAGGGGTGCAGCAAGTGAGACAGGAGAGGTCTCTGCACCATGTGGGTTGCTCCCTGGCCAGCCGGGGATTGAACTCATGCTGCAGAGGCTGTGAACTGCTTCACAGTGCCGTGCTTAACCCCTTGTGCCACCAGGGAGGCCCTTGATTATACTTTTCTTCAGCTCATGAAGCAACTAATATTTTGATAAAAGGGAGGTAATTTTCTAAGGAGGATGATTTGTCAGATTTATCTAGGAAAAAGGGCACTGAGGGGCCTCCCTGGTGGCGCAAGGGGTTAAGATGCAGCCTGTGAAGATGCCTGCAGCTTCTGCAGCACAAGTTTGATCCCTAGCCAGCCAGGAAGCTGCCCACATAGTGCAGCAGACCTCTCCTGTCTCGACCACTGCTCCCCTCAGCAGTGTATTTCAGTCAGTCTGCCTGATCTGTTCCTCACTCTGTCTCTGGTGAATCCTCTCACCCCCTGCATCTCTGGCCTGTACCCCAGTTCTTGTATGCATAAATAAATATTAAAAAAAAAAAGCACTGGGTAAGAAAGCAGGAAAATCAGTGAATTATGATTCATGTTCTTCTGGTCTATAGAAATTGTTTGCCTTTCTACATTCCCCTCCACTGTTTCCTTTTCTTAAATGCACACAGAGAAAGATGGTGAATTAAGCAAATTTAACCTAAAAATGTTTAGGATGTTAAAAAGGTTTTTATTAAATTAGAACTTTTAGGACAGTTTCTCTTAACAGTCCAACAGAACAGATTTAGGAAAATCTAGCTTAGTACCTGGTTTTTGAAATTTCCTACCTGGCTAAGAAGGTTGGGGGGGCGGTGTGAAGATTATAATTTCCATGAAGAATACTCAGCCACAGTCGTAAGCCATTAATTAAATAATGTTCCTTTCTAGGAGAAAAAGTACCCAAAGGCTCAGGACAAGCAAGCTGGGGTTTACACGTATTTTATGATTGCAAAGTCACACAGGGGAGGTCTGCTGTGCCATGTGGATCAGCTCCCTGCCTGAGGATTGAACTCCTGCTGCAGTGGCTGGTGATAGCTTTATAGTGCTGAGATGTAACCTCTTACGCCACCAGGAAGGCCTACACTTTACTTTTTTATTATTTTTATTATTATTATTTTTTTTAATAGAGGCATGTTTTATTTATTTGTTTCTTTGTTTTGTTTATACATGCACTGGGTACAGTCAAACTCGTGGGAGGGTGAGAGAATACACCAGATCCAGAGCAGGGAGCAGAGCAGGCAGAAGGACTGAAGTACACTGCTGAGGGGAGCAGCGGGCGGCAGGAGAGGTCTGCGCGCCATGTGGGACCCTCCTCCGGTGGCAGGGGAGCAGCCGGGGATCGAACCGGCGCCGCAGAGGCCCCAGGGAGTTTCCCAACCCAGTGTTCAAACGCTGCGCCACCAGGGAGGCCCTACACTTTACTTTTTTTAAAGACACAGGGTGAAGAATATTATCAGCAGGGCCTTCCTGGTGGCGCAAGGGTTAAGTCTCAGCACTATCACTTCTGCAGCCTGAGTTTGATACCTGGCCAGGGAGCTAAGCCACATATGGCACAGAAGACCCCTCCTGTCTCACCCATTGTTCCCCTTAGCAGTGGGTATTTCAGTAAATCCACCTGTTCTGCTCCCTACTGTGTCTCTCGTGAACCCTCTCACCCCCTGCACCTCTAGCCTACACCTCAGTTCTACACACAAATAAATAAAAAATAAATCTTTAAAAAACAAGTATTTTCAACAGTGAGTAAAGAAACCCCTCTGGGGAAAAAACTGTATCTTAACCACCTAATTAATTTCCTTCTCTTCAAAACACTGCCACTATTTCTACTTTTTTGGCCCCTTTCCTCTATTTTTAAGAGTACATGAAAATATTATCTGTTGTAGTAAATCTTTTAACAGCAATTATCTGCATGTTAGGACGTTAAAAAGGTTTTTATTAAATTACAACTTTTAGGATGGCTTCTCTTAACAGTCCAACAGAATAGATTTAGGAAAATCTAGCTTAGTACCTGGTATTTCAAATTTCCTACCTGGCTAACAAGGTGTGTTGGGGGTGTGGGGGGGTAGTCACATTTTTTAATTTTAGTTGTTACGCTTTTCTTGGGAAAAAACAGCAAAGTTAAATAATCTACTTAAGATTAGAGGAAAAAGCCAATCCAAACACTAAGAAAATAGTGCCTCAGATGAGAATGACAGAGTCCGATCCTATTCTATTCTTTAGTCTTACTAAGAATTGATACATTGAGGGCCTCCCCGGTGGCGTAGCGGTTGAGCGCTGGGTTGCGAAGCTGCCCGCGGCCTCAGCGGCGCCGGTTCGATCCCCGGCTGCTCCCCGGCCACCGGAGGAGGATCCCACAAGGCGTGCAGACCTCTCCTGCCGCCCGCTGCTCCCCTCAGCAGTGTGCTTCGGTCCTTCTGCCTGCTCTGCTCCCCGCTCTGGCTCTGGTGAATTCTCTCGCCCTCCCGCACTTCTGACTGTACCCAGTGCTTGTATAAATAAATAAATAAATCTTTAAAAAAAAAAAAAAGAATTGATACACTGAACCTCATGATTTCTCTTAGACCATGTCTCTTAGAAACACCAACTGCAACTCAAATATTTCTCTTTCCTCTACTACTCTGTCAGCCAATAGTTTTCAACCTTCTCTTCGTTAAGTGGGATTGCAAACTCTTTTTCAAAATTAAAGTCGTACTTTCAGTGTACAATTGTTTAAGTTTTTTAAAATCACCCATTACAGGGCCTCCCCAATGGCACAGCGGGTTGAGCGCAACGCCGTGAAGCTGCCTACAGCGCCAGTTCGATTTCTGGCCAGCCAGGAAGATACCCAGGTGGGGCGGAGACCTCCCCTGTCTCATCCGCTGCTCCCCTCAGCAGTGTTTTTGGTCCATCTGCCTGTTCTGTTCCCTGCTTTGCCTCTGGTGAATCCTCTCACCCTCTGGCACCTCTGGCCTGTACGCCAGTGCTTGTATAAATAAATAAATCTTAAAAAAAAAAAAAAATCACCCATTACAACGGATAGTAGGCACCATTACCTGACAGCAATAAAAAGTTATTAAGAATAAAATGGGCAGAAGAGCTAAAAAGAAACTTCTCTGAAGAGGAAATGCAAATGGCCAACAGGCATATGAAAAAATGTTCAACATCACTTGTAATCAGGGAAATGCAAATCAAAACTACCATGAGATACCATCTTACACCAGTGAGAATGGCACATATTAAAAAAAGTAGCAACAACAAATGTTGGCGAGAGTGTGGAGAAAAAGGAACTCTTCTGCACTGTTGGTGGGAGTGCAAACTGGTCCAACCACTATGGAGAGCTGTGTGGAGATTTCTGGACCTACTAAACATAGAGCTTCCATATGATCAGGCAATTCCACTCCTAGGTATTTACCCAAAAGACACAGAAACATCAATTCCAAAGAGCACCTGCACCCCTATGTTTATAGCAGCACTATTTACAATAGCTAAGCTTTGGAAACAACCCAAATGCCCAAAAATAGATGACTGGATCAAGAAGATGTGGTACATATATACCATGGAATATTACTCAGCATTCAAAAAAGATAAACACATGCAATTTGCAGCAACATGGATGGCGCTGGAAGGGATCATGCTCAGCGAAATAAGCCAGAAAGAAAAAGAAAAATACCTGATGGTCTCACTCATAGCAGGAATCTAGAAAACTTAAATAAGGGACCAGGAAAATGAATAACTATAAGAAAGTGAAAATCAAAATCAACAAAAAACTATGAACCAGAGACACTCTATGGGGGGGTAGGAGGCAGGAGGGGAGGGATTAGGGTCAAAATAAGGGGGTTGCAATTGTATGGGGAATATAAAAATAAAATTTATTATTAAAAAAATAAAAAAGGAAAAGGAAAAAAGTTATTAAGAATATATTAAAAAGCTTATAATTCTTTTTTGGAAATTATTCCATGGCCATTTTAGCGAATCATACCTTTGTGGAAGTTACCTTTGGTCTATGAAAAGTTTTTGACATTATAAACTGTAATAGTTTCCATGCGTTGCACACAACTGGTATTACATTAAGGTATAATTCACCTAGGGTAAAAAAAGAAGAAAAAACTCAAGTTAAGAAGAAAGGTAATACATAAGTATGAAAATTAATACTGTTATTATCAATAGTATAATAAAGTTAAGACTTAAAGAGTACACAGTAAATAAACACAGGTGGAACAAAGACATCAAAATGCTAAAATAAATTTTACTTTTAAAAATTATAACTGTGCGGGCCTCCCCGCTGGCGCAGCAGTTGAGCGCTGGGCTGCGAAGCTGACCGCAGCCGCTGCAGCGCCGGGGAGATGCCTGGCCGCCAGCGAGGGTCCCACATGGCGCGCAGACCTCTCCTGCTGCACCACCTGCTCCCCTCATCAGTGTACTTCCTCAGTCTGCCTGTTCTGCTCCCCACTCTGGCTCTGGTGAATTCCCTCACCCTCCCGTGCTTCTGACTGTACCCAGTGCTTGTATAAATAAATAAATCTTGAAAAAAATTAAAAATTATAACTATCAAATTACCTCTTTTTAGTGTGTTTTATGAATATAAAGTGGTTTATTAGAGAAAATAGAAAAGTAACATATTTGTGTACTTACTTTCTGTCCTTAAGAAAAATTAGAAAATTGTTTAAATTTAAATGTCCCTCATTTTAAATTACAGTTGCAGTTTTTCATTTCCAAAATTCCTACCTACCCCCAATCCCAAATAATGAGTTCAGACGTAACACTTTATTTGAACAGATTGTGAAGCTTAGTGTAAATTTTTTCTACAACTCTTATTTGAACATGTTACTAGAAGATTTTTGGCGACATTGTGTTTTCTGACTTTGGTAATTCTTTAATGTTTTATAAAAGCTACTGACTCACCAATTTTTAATTAGAATGAAAGTTTTTATTTTTTAAAGATTTATTTATTTATGCATACAAGAGCTGGGGTACAGGCCAGAGATGCGGAGGGCTCAGAGGATTCACCCAAGACAGAGTGGGGAACAGAACAGGCAGACTGACTGAAATACACTGCTGAGGGGAGTAGCAGACGAGACAGGAGAGGTCTGCCCTCCCTGTAGGTTGCTCCCTGGCCGGCCCAGGGATTGCACTCCTGCCGCAGAGGCTTCGGATCGCTTCACAGTGCTGTGAGTGACCCCTGTGACACCAGGGAGACCCCTACAATGAAAGATTTTAAAGGTCTATTGATACAAACCGATTTAGAAGATAGACTGGCTGGTTTTTTTCCCCCAACAGTTCGGAGGCATATAAACCTTACAATGTGTAAATACTAGACACTAAAAATACTATTACAGACACTGTAGAAAACGAACCATACACGCATAACTCCTTGACGATTAGAAAGCTTTTCCTTCGGAGTTTCAAAGAGGTTTTCAGAAGGAAAAAACACACTGAGTTAACGTAGTCGGCATGTCAATATAAAAGATGCAGACTTTTATTATGGTCAGGACTCTAGAAACTCTTTTAAAACAACACTGTAATCACCTCCTCTAAAAAGCGGGTAACTGACCCTGATGATGCCAGGTTCCTGAAATGAAATGTCAGAGGTAGAAGAAACCTTCAAAAACGTGTCTAGCAGACCCATCACCACCCTACTCCCTGCACAGGGAATACTAGCTCAATCATCGTCCAAAGCCTGTTAGGCAGCGGAGAGCCCAGATGAGCTCGCGCGTTCCGGCTCCAGGCCAGAGTTTTGAACCCTCACCCCTCTCACCCCCAGATGGATGGGCAGACCGGGAGGAGGAGCGACGAGAGCCCGGGAAGGCGTGAAGTCAGAGATGGACGCGCGTCTCTAGGGCAAACACACATAACAGCCGCAACCGCGGCGGCCTTACTTTCCGGGAGCCGCATCCCCTTGTGGCAGGAGGGGAGCGGAGAAGCCCAACTTCTGCTCGGGGTGGAAGGGCAGCCACAGCCCTACCCCGGCTCAGCGCCGAGCCTCTCGGAGATCCCGCCTCCCGGGGGCCTTTCAGAACGGTCTGCGCCTCCGCGACACAGCCCGAAGGGCGGGGCCGCCAAAAGAGCTAGTCACTTAGACATCTAACACACTGCCTGACCCAAAACGCCGCCCGACCCGTGCCCCTGCCCCGCATCTTGCAGTGGATGCGTGTCATAGAAGGCCGCGGAACCAACGCTCGCTGACTAGGCGAAGGGGTTAGGTGGTGAGGGCCACTCAGGGGCTTAAGGACCCCGGCGCCGCTGGCGCTTATCACCGCCCACCCCTTCCGGCTCCTTCCTGTTGTGCGTCGTCTTGTGCGTCGCGTACGTGAGGCCGGGCGCCCGGGGCCGTCGCGGCGAAGACCATGTTGCTTCCGAACATCCTGCTCACGGGTCAGGGCGCGCGGCGGGGAGGGGCTGGTCGGCGGGGCAGAGTTGGGACGCCGAGTGTTTTGGGGTCTCGGGCGCCCAGAGGGCCTGTTTCAAGGCGCAGTGTTAAGTTTTGAGGCCAGTTGGGGGCCGCGTGGGGTGGCAGCTGCTGGGCCCGCGAGACCCGGCTGTCGCGACCCGCGGTGGGTGGGGGTGCGGGGGGAGGCGGCTGAGGAACGTTACTTCTGTGGGCCGGAGGTTGCTCGGCCAGGTGAAGGGAGGTCGACTAACCCAGCTTGCTTTCCTGCTTAATCTTTCTCATTCTGGGTTTTGTAAAATAACTGTTTATTTGACAGAGTTATAGTTGGGGTTTTGCGAGATAACGTGAGGCAATGTCCGATCTTAGTAGGTTAGCGGTGAATGCCGTCGTCCTTAGACCTTGTGGACTGTCGAGGTTTTCCTTTGTATCTGAGAACCACTTCTCAGATCAGATTCCAGTTAAAGGGTTTGGATGTTGGTGGCGTAGGTTGATGGAGTAAAAGATCCCTTATTTGCTGTGTATGTTGAGTTCGCATCAGACTTTTTCTTTTCCTTGAAGGAAAAAAAGTGGCTTCTCATCATTTTTTCTCGTGTAGAGAAAGTTCCTGGACTGATCGTGAGGCTCTTCTGACTGTGTGGGTCCATACTCAGACCTTATACTTAGTGAGAGGTACTAAAATGTTTTACGACGACTTAAAAATAATATGGGCCTTTAGCACTGAAAATGTGCATTAAATTGTAGCCGTTAATAGCGCCATAGGTTATTCATGGAAACATCTAATGAGTTTAGATGCTACTGCAATGTAGAGAAATATTGAGATGTTGTGTGGAAACAAAACAGTGGCATTTTTAATCACTGAATAAGACATAAGGTTGTTGACAGTGCACAAGTCTTGTCTGTTTTCGAGAGCTGTAGATTAACCTTTTGATAAAATGTTTAGCATTCAAGATTTCTTAAGGGGAAGATTTCATAATCTTTCATTAGGCTCAGACAGTGTCCTGGTTTTTCATATTAAGGTATATTGTGAAAAATCTAAAAGTGAGCATTTTATTGAAAACATGGCAAGTCCAGGGTTCAAACTTGGTGTGTTACAGTGAACTTGAGGTAAATGTCACTTTTATAGAGAGAAGATGACTTGCCCCTGTAATCTTTCATTATAATCGAGTTGTATAATTCAGTGAAGTTAAAACTGAACAGCTAAAAATGATGCATTGGAATAACTTGAAATACAATAGCTAAAAGAGAGAAGGTGAAGAAGAATGTGCTTGTTATTTGTGTAAAAGGAAATAGGTGGTATATGTATTTGTGCATACAACATGAATATGTACATACATAATGTGCTACCATGCATATGCACAGGATGTCTTTGGAAAAATATGTAAGAAACTGTTTAACAGTCATTGCCTCTAGCAGAGTATGGGGTAGGGAGGTATGTAGTGGTCATGAGGTTTGTCTTTCATGTTGCTTGAATTTGTTTTTTCCCATGAGCAATTAAAAAGTGTTATCTAACTAAAATAAACGATGTTAATTTGCTTGGTATGGCTAATTTTATTTTGGGACTTTATTGACTACATGGTGATGAAAGGCAATAAAATTAGCATCAGAATTGCCAAAGACCTACTCCTGATAGAATCAGATATTCTAGGTGAGAGTCTGCAGGCTTTGAGTAGTTTTGATTGTATATTAATTCATATGGGGTTGCTAATTAGGAAACTTCTTTTCAGTAGTTAGGGACCTTACTAAGGTCAGATGAGTGGTTAAACTGTAATAAGTATTTCATGTACAATATTTTTCTGTAACTTGTCTTACAGGTACACCAGGGGTTGGAAAAACCACGCTAGGCAAAGAACTTGCAACAAGATCAGGACTGAAATACGTTAATGTGGGTGATTTAGCTCGAGAAGGTAAGGAACACTTGGTGTTAGATTTATTTTAAAAGAGAGATAGTAGAGTATTATACTCATGTTGTGAGAAGGTACAAAAAGCAGAGAAAAGTTGTCATTAAGGAAATTTGTGCTTTATTGAGGACTTATAGAAATAGAAAATACCATGTTCAGTGTTATGTCCTGGTTGTTTTGACCATTACATATCTCCTCCTTCCTCTAAATGACTAGCAGTTCTTGTGGACAGTAATAATTGGGAAGGCTTCACTGAAGTGATTGGACTTAGGTTAGATAGAACCTAAATATGAGGACGAGGGAGAGTGTTTTGATTTGGGCCAATGCATAAAGGTTTTGGGTGGTGCTAAGCGTGTCTGTGGAGACACTGAGTATATTATCACTGGAAAGACAGATTATTTAACAACTTAGGCGTAGATCATGGCTATCCTATATTTTCTTAGGTTTGATAATTACAAGCTTGCACATAACTGCATATATTCTAAAATTGTACATTTTTATTTATTTTACCCTGTTTTCTCCCAATCTTTTATCACACCCTTATTCTTTATCTTTTTATATTACAGAGATTTGTACAGGGTAAAAATTCAATTTGAATAAAGGGAACTTTAAGTGTGCCTCATTAAAACTAAAAAGATTAACATTTTTAAAATTTAACTATATTTTAAAAAATTTAACATTTTTAAAAAAAATTATCCTGACAGTTGCTACTAAAGTAACTATTTCAGGTTTGATCTAATATACATATTTTTTTCAAATGATCTAAAGTCTGATCACCGGATATCATGGAGTCTGGCAAGATGGCTTCTCCCAAGAGCATGCCGAAAGATGCACAGATGATGGCACAAATCCTGAAGGATATGGGGATTACAGAATATGAGCCAAGAGTTATAAATCAGATGTTGGAGTTTGCCTTCCGATATGTGACCACAATTTTAGATGATGCAAAAATTTATTCAAGCCATGCTAAGAAAGCCACTGTTGATGCAGATGATGTGCGATTGGCAATCCAGTGTCGTGCTGACCAGTCTTTTACCTCTCCTCCCCCAAGAGATTTTTTATTAGATATTGCAAGGCAAAGAAATCAAACCCCTTTGCCATTGATCAAGCCATATTCAGGCCCTAGATTGCCACCTGACAGGTACTGCTTGACTGCTCCAAACTATAGACTTAAGTCTTTACAAAAAAAGGCATCTACTTCTGCAGGAAGAATAACAGTTCCAAGATTAAGTGTTGGTTCAGTTACTAGCAGACCAAGTACTCCTACACTTGGTACACCAACCCCACAAACCATGGCTGTTTCAACTAAAGTAGGGACTCCAATGTCCCTTACAGGGCAAAGGTTTACAGTACAAATGCCCACTTCACAGGCCCCAGCTGTAAAGGCATCAATTCCTGCAACATCAGCAGTTCAAAATGTTCTTATTAATCCATCATTAATTGGGTCCAAAAATATTCTTATTACCACAAATATGGTATCACAAAATACTGCCAATGAATCATCAAATGCAATGAAAAGAAAACGCGAAGATGATGATGATGACGATGACGATGATGATGACGACTATGATAATTTGTAATCTAGCCTTGGTGCTTGTAACGTGTACTTGATCTTGAATCCATTGTATTGAGATTAAACATTGCATGCTGGATGTTTTCAAGTTCTGTTGTAGAAAACTTAAAAAGTATTTAATGAGTAAATATAGTTAACATACCTTTCAATTAAGATGTTGCTTTTTCTTTAATAGGATTATTAATGGTTTTTCATCAGCCTTTAAGTGTGAAAAAATAAAGATTTCATTCATCAATTTGACTTTCGGTACTTTGGCAGTTATGTTTTTAGAAGCAGTTTCCCCCTCATCACCAACAGGATTAACAGTTGCAACAACTGTTGTTTCTATTCATTAATGCTATAGTGTCACATTTATTACATTCAGATGTTTAGAGCATAGTATGATCTCTGGTGTATAGATCACTCTTAAGGTCCATTCTTTTAGATTGCTGATGGATAGCCATGTCTTTTTGGAGAGACTGTTTAAACTTTTCTACATAGTGAATCCTCACATTTGAATTTTCCTCCTCAATTGCCCAATTTTATTAGGTCTCACTCTTCTGTCTCCTTGGTTGGTTTTTTAAGGATCCTTGATGTATCTCCTAGTATCTCCCCAATTAAAATTTAAAAAAATCGTTTCCATTCCTTTTTGCCAGGTCAATTTGATACTATAAGCCAGTATCATGCTAATAATTTTAATTCAACTCTGGCATTTAAGTTACAATTAATAAAGCTTAGATCATTCTCTGTGTTATGCCTCTATGAAATCTTTTTGTTACTTGAAGTTTACTTTCATGTTTTTGACACGATTTCAGTTATTTTTCAGTTCTAATCTCTGCTATATAATCTATCATGAATAGCACTGAGAGGAACAGTAACAACAGACCAAGGATAATTCACTGTGAAAGACTCATCTTCCTCTTCAATGGGCCTTCTCCTTGTTCTCACACCATTTTAACCAAAGTTGTACACCAACAGCCTCTCCACTTCCTTGATGATAGGCTGTGGAATCCAAGCCTTACAGGAGAAGTGGGTTCCCCGCCCTCATCCTGCCAGATAAAGGGTTTCTGGTCTCACTTGACATGGTGTTATATGAGGTACTTTAAGTACCTCATATAAGTTTTCTCAAAATGTACCAATTTTTTCCCTCAGGTGCCATTTGAATTTATCTAAAACATCTTACTAAACTATAATATGAGACATCTAGTCTCCTTTTTTCCAAATGATGGTATATTTTAAGATAATCTATGCAATCATCTATGAAGGAGCAGTTCTCGACTGAGGGTGAATTTGTCTGATAAGACATGTGGTAGTTACAACTGGGGTGGGAGTGGGACAATCACTAATAGAGGTGAGGGATTCTATTGAATATCCAGCAACTCAGAGATAGTCCTCTGCTCTCTCTCCATAACAGCAGTATTTGAGCTGGTTGAGAAACTGCTATAAGTAGATGAGATTTTTCCCCCCCCCTGGTTTTAAATGTATCTAAATAGAATTTGTTACCCTCCTAGTAATGTTGAATTGCTATATTTGTAAGAGACTATCTTTATGTCATTGGAACCTAGGCAGGGAAAATTAGTTGGACAATAAAACTAATGAACATCCTAAATGTGGTGTGACTAGGCATGCTTTCTTAGCCCTGTTATTCCAGACTCAAGATTCTTCCTCACTTGATATCCTTACCCACATATTCATTTACCCTTTTACCAGAATTCTTAATTTTCATGCCGCCAGTTTACCGGTCTTTAGCCTCTGTTCCTAACCTCAGGGTATTCATAGGTCTAAACAAAGTAATGTAATTCTCATTGGATCCGTTCAAATAACTTGGCCCTCGGCACTAATATTTTGATGTGTTTTTAATGCAAGAGTTGGCAAGTAGGAGCCTCTGGGTAAAGACTAGCCTGAAGTATTTTCTGTCTCCTTTTACAGAAAAAGTTTGCCATTCACTGTCTAACCTCTGTGTCCCATATATTCCACTCCTAAATCAGCTAAGTCTTTGAAATGAACTCCATTGGCCCTTTGGACATTTCTAGTCATGGCATCTGCCCTCTCCCTGTCATCATACTAACACTACCCTGTGATTTCTCTGAAGCCATCTTGTAATACTGCCCCTCCCACCATAATCTCATTCAGAACTTTGATGATTTTTAAATTTATAATGAGAAGTTATCCCTATTTTCTATAGATTTACTAGGTGTAACCATTTGGCTAGTTCCCAGATAGCACAAAAAGTTTAAAAAGCAAAAGATCAAACAATCCGTGATTCTACTGGACTGCCCCTTGATTTCACAGCTTACCTCTGATCCTCACAAACTAACATTATGTGCAGGTCAACTTAGCCTCTAAATCTTGATGGTTTGCTGAAAAATCCCTTGGTGCTACATCCCTATGCCACCCCATCCCATTGTCAACGCCATATTGAGCCTCCTCCTCTTAAAAGTGTCTCTTCCTTCCCTGTTCCACAGCACCATGTCCTTTAAATAAAGGACTTGAAATTTTACTGATAAAGTACATCTTGCTTAGTGAGGTAGAGATTATAAACTGGTCCAGTTTACCTTCAGCCTTACCTGTAGCCATTCCTCCATGTGTCCTTCAGTCTACCCACAGAGCACTAATGTTCCTTAAACACAACAGGAATTTTCCACCTCCATGTCTATGCATGGTATTCCTTTTACCTGTAAATGCCAGATGTCCTTATCTACCTTAGCCCAAAGGTCGTTCGTCACATCTTTGGTGCTCTTTAACTTCTCTAGGAGTCTTAACTGCTCTTTTCTCCACAAAAAAGCATTCAATCCAAAACCAGGTAACTTTTCATACTAATTAGTAGTATAGGTAGAAGTTGCTTTTTTGGGCTAAGGTAAATGTTTCCAAAGAAAGAAAACCTGAATAGTGGCAGCAGCAGCAAAATAAATAACTTCCCAATGTGATTAAGAACAGCTTTCCCTTGAGTGTATATATAGTATAGAATGGCAGCCATGATTTTATAGCTTAACAATTGAGAAGATCTTTTAAGGTAAGAGCTTACATAACCTTTTAACTCTTGCCCTACAACCACTTTTTTCTCTGCAGGTTATATATCTTTAAATAAATCATAAAATTTTGTTTAGGAAATTGACTTAATTTTTTTACCCTCTGGTGAGTTAATTAAATCCCCTTTTTTGTCTTTGCTATATGAAGATCATATATATAGACAACTATACACAAATGAAGCTTTCTAAACTATAAGCTTTTCCTTTCTGAAGTGAAGTTCAGAACCCATGTTTCCATTCCCTATGATCAGGTTATAATCATCTAAAATTCTGCAGTAACTTTGATCTGGTATCTGCTTCTTTTGGATTTGCTTCCTTTCAGCTTGTTCTTCACATAGAAACCAAAATTATTTTTCAAACTTTGAAATTGATCATATCATTTCATGCTTAAAATGTTTTAATGATTTTCCTTTGCCTCAGGATAAAATATAAATTTAGTGAAGCAATTAATTTAGTGATGCCCTTTTCAGTCTGGCCTCAGTTTACCTGATCCTTTACAACCTGTTTTCTACCTGCATAGGCCTTCTGTAGCTGCAGGATTTGCATCCTCAGATTCAACCAACCATGAATTGAAAATGCATGCTATGTAATTAGGCCTACAGTCTACTGAACATGCACAGACTTTTTTTTGTAATCCCCTGAACAGTACAGTATGACACACTGAACTAGGTTTTACAAGTAATCAAGATTATTTTTTAAAGTATATGGAAGGACCTGTGTAGGTTATATGTAAATACTATGCCACTGTATGTGGAGTACTTGCGCATCCTCGGATTTTGGTATCTCCTGGGGTCTGGAAGCCAATCTCCCCTGCAGGTAACCAAGGAATAACTGAATTCTGAAAGACTTTCCCTCCCTTGAAAGAACCTACCTTCCCTGCCTTTGTATATCTTGTATTCTCTGTTGGGAATATTTTCCCCTGCCTTTATATCCTAGCTTACCAATTCAAGCCACCACTTAGAAGACACTCCAGAAAGCTTCCCCTAATATCCAAAGTTTATGTTGCTAATATAAGCATCCATCCTATCATAACTATAAGTAGCACCATGAACCCAAACATTAAAATATCCCTGTAATGTCCAGGTTACTTGTCTGTCCTCTTACCTCATTATAAATTCTTTGAGGGAAGGGCCATGTTTGTCTTCTTCATTTTTTCACCATTGTCATTACTCTGTAATCACTGTACATATGTTACTTGCTAACTGGTTTTTGAAATGAGTGAAAGATTGGATTATATGATTTTATTAAAATATATAAAATAGGGGGCTCCCTGGTGGCACAGGGGTTAAAGTCTCAGCGCTGTCAAGCAATTGCCAGCCACTGTGCCATGAGTTGGATCTCCAGCCAGGGAGCTAGCCCACATGGCACAGCAGACCTCTCCTGACTCGCCTGCTGCTCTCCTCAACAGTGTATTTCAGTAAATCTGCCTGTTCTGTTTCCCACTCTGTCTCTGGTGAATCCTCTCACCTCCCACCCCAAACCCACCCCGCACCTCTGGCCTACACCTCAGTTTTTGTATGCATAAGTAAATCTTTAAAAAATTAAAATAAGTATATTAGTGAAAGATCACACTAATCTTTGAGGGGTCAAAGGATTTAAATATGAAGGAAACTCATCTACTCCATATTCCAACATAGTACAGAATCACCTGTAGGTATTTTTACATTTTGTGGCATTATATAAAGGAAAACACAGTATTATAAAAATATACACAGCACAGGGCCTCCCTTGTGGCACAGGGATTAAGTCTCAAAGCTATCAAACTTTCAGTAGCCACTGCAGCACAAGTTCGATCCCTGGCCAGGGAGGTGACCCGCATGGCCCAGCAGACCTCTCCTGCCTTGCCCACTGCTCCCCTCATCAGTGTATTTCAGTAGATCTGCCTGTTCTGTTCCCCACTCTGTCTCTGGTGAATTCTCTCACCTCCTGCACCTCTGGCCTACATCCCAGTTCTTGTATGCATAAATAAAAACAATACACACACACACACACACAGCACAATACAACCAGTTTATTTCAATAATGTTTTTTTCTTCTAGTCTTTTGTAACTTTGAATTGTGCTTTTTACATGTATCAAGCATTTATTATCTTGCCAGATAGTCTATATGCTACAAAGTATTTTCAAATACTTATTTTCTTAGTTATTTCATCAAGTTAGTAAACCAAGATTTAATTATTTTTCTAAATCTTGAACCTTTTTTTTTTCACTTTATCACTTACATTAGTCCTGATTAGAAGTTAAGTGGTAAAGGAAACCTTTGAATAGCCATCATGTTGTTCTTTTTAAAATATAATTCCAAAGTCAGTTTACTATTATATATTAACAGGCATAAAGAGGCTTATTATAATTTCATCTCTTTAATAACTGGTAAAATTCAACATTTTATTTCATATTTATTAACTATCTTTTCCATACTGTGAATTATTATTGGTTAAACTATTTTTAATCTTTATTTTTAAGGTCTATATGTAATCTACATTTTAGCACTTTTTTTATTGAACAGAGATTAAACATTTTAAATGTTTGAATCTTTTTGTTTCTCAAGTGACTCATTCTTTTATATATTAGAAAAATTTCTCACTAATTATCCTTGGAATTAAGAAATTAGCTCTTTAATCCACCTTTTAAAGTATAAAGTAAGGGTTTAGATTGTTCTTTAAATTGCTAGAATAGTTTTCCCACATCAAGACAGTTACCAAAACAGTTATTTTTTAAGCTGATAGTTTCTGGTAACCGAGCAGTAACTCAAAGAAGCAGAGGCCACCTTGGCATGCTGAGAATGGCTCATGTGCTCAGAATCTGTCTACAAAACTTCCAGGCAAGACAAAGCTTCCCCTAACCCCCAGAATCACCCTTTTGTCACTTTATTTTTTTTTAATTTATTTATTTATACAAGAAGGCGCTGGGGAAGTGAGAGGATTTACCAGAGACAAAGTAGGAGCAGAACAGGCAGATGTACTGAAATACACTGCTGAGGGGAGCAGGCGGTGAGACAGGAGAGGTCTGCTGCACCACGTGGGTCACCTCCCTGAGCAGGGATCAAACTCCTGCTGCAGTGGCTGGTGACAGCCCTACTGGACCATCTTTATTGTTAACCCTTGCACCACCAGGGAAGGTTCCCCCTCTTTTGTCACTTTAGAACACATACTCATTTAACCCATTTCAATTTATGCCCAAATATTACGGGAGAAAGAAGTTGGGAATACTGTATATAGCACGCTCTTAGAAATGTCTAAGAGGATGATCTAAGCCCGCCTTAGATTTCATACCTCCTGGGGATTCCAGGTGAGGGTAAGCTTGGTATGACTCACTTCCTGAAGTAACACTTTCTTTGAAAGTCAGTTGTGATTTATTGGAAAGTTCTTGTCAGGCAGAAATGAGATGAAGACAGGAACAAAGGAACGTCCTCACTGGAAAGCATCCCGATAATATGCACACCTGCTGCCGCTGTGGCTATTCTGACAGGCAGAAGAGAAAGTGTGACTGGAGAACCATGACTAAAAGACAAAATGCCACCGGGAGCTATCAGATGAGGCACCTAAATATACTGTAGATTCAGGCATGG